AGGATTCCCCACAGAGATTGGGGCCTCATTATGCTACCAAGCAAACTTACACGAAGAGAAAATTCCCACCTGCAGAGGACTTACTACCTAAAGACATAAAAGCAGCTAACGAGGCCAGAGGCATGAATATGGTAATCTTTCCCAAATGTTTTTCTCTCACATCTTTTCCCTTCCAATGTTTTTAAGCTCTGCATCTCACCCTCTTTCCCACTTTGAATGACAAGGAGCATGAGCATGTGTCTTCTGGCAGAGCAGATGGTACCTGCGGCTCTCCACGTGGCGCAGGCTGTTATGTGCCTCTAGCTGCTGCTGACAATTCCTCCTCCAAGGTGCTTTGTCATGGAGCTGCTATTGATGCCACAGATCCCTGCTGACTGGCACTGGCACAGCCAGGCACAATACTGGGCAGCCAGGAAGACACATGGCAGGTGGCAAAGCCCACACAGAAAATCCGGCAAGCAGAGGCATCCAGAGAGACTGGAGGATGCTTAGAAGCAATGCCTGCTGAAACTGCAAAGTTTTCCTGCTGCATATGAAAGGAAACTGCTGGATTAGCCATAGGCTCTGGGTGTTTTTCTGCCAATGTCCCTAAACTAAACTGGCAATCCCACACCACTGATACACACTGTTGTGCACTCAGGGCTGCAGAGCCCAGGCTGCCCGTTTGCTGAGGGCTGGCTCTGTCTCCTGCTGTTTGGGAAAGGGCTATTTCTGCACAGCTGTGGGAGGCTAGTGACTCCACAAGGCACAAACTGCCTCTGGAGAGAGCTCTGTTCTGCCAGCACTTGCACAGACTTCATCCTCTGTCCTTGTCTTGGAAACAGCTCCAGGGTTACATTTTCACCCCTCCTAGTGACATATATCAAAATTTCGACTGTTCTTTTCACTTACATGGAAATCTCCCCATCCCAAAGACCTCAGAGTGCTGCCCTGGACACCACTGCAAATAAATATACAGAAAAGATCTAACTGAGATCAAGCACAACTGAACATCAGAGTTAGAAAGGACCTCTGGACCTGCACAGTAAAATGCTCACAGAACAGCAGTGAAGTCCTGCTCAGACAGGCCAGGACCCATAGCTCCATCTCCAGCATGCAGTGTGCTTCAGGTTCATTGCCCCAACCCAAAAAGCAACATCAACTCAGGAGAATTTTCCAAGTTGGTCTCTGAAGCCCCTGCTCCTGGCAATCCTGAATTAGTCCATCCTCTTCACATCCACATTGTTTATAGGCCTGAACAGCTTCCCCAGAGCCCCTCAGGGGAATCACCAGTACCAGCTACAAAGTTTTACTTCCTTTGAATTCCCCTTGCAAATTAATCTCAACCAGGCTTTAAGAGGCCATGAAAACATACCAACTTCAAACACTGCTTGAAGCCTAAGGAAAAAGTGTCTCCTGGCATTGGAAATGTTTATAACTATGAATCCAATTAGTCCAGCTTCAAGGCTTTGATGAGAAATGCATTATCTGCACCTCTCTCCCTCTCTCTCCCCAAGAAGTTTGGCCATACCTGTGACACACATATGAGATGAGAGGAACCTTTGTCTGGAGCCAAATCCTGTATTTCAGCCTTGGAAACCAAATGTCAGGTATCCATGAAGATGGATGGTGGCCTCAGGCACTCCAGCTGATTGAGGAATAGTCACATGGCTGGGTTTTCAAGTGGGGCTGAGGAGTCAGGAGTTGGATATAATGCAGTCCACTGTGGGCTGTCTCCTGTCCCACAGCACTGTGTGCACAGCATAGATATGGGCAAGACCTCATCTCCAATAAAACTGCAGCAGAGATATGGGCAAGACCTCATCTCCAAAAAAACTTCAGCCTGCCCAGAGCCAGCTTGTGGCTGAGACCCACTACAACTCCTGTTCCCACTCACCAAGAAAGGGCATAGAAAGGGCTTTGCTACAGCTACTCAGCTCAGTTTATACCTCAATGCTTCAGGAAATATCACCTGTAAGATTCCTCACCCCTAATAAAGCCTGAGCACTTCTGGCAAGCATCAGTGCTAAAAGGAAAGCAGTGATACAACTAATATTGTTGCTCTGCCAGCTCTGAGGTTGTAAGAACCCTCCTTCTCAAGCCTGTTGCCTTTATGAGGATCCCTTCAGAGGCTCTTTCTTCGTCTGGGCTGAACACACTTTCCCTGGCTTCTCCTGCATAACAGGCTTCCCACTCCTCTGAGAGCACTGGCAGCCTTAATTTGCACTTGCTTTATTCAAAATCATGCCTGAGTATAGAGGTCAGAGCCACACACAGGACTCCAAGTCTGACTCATGCTCATTTTGTGCAAAAGTCCTCTCTTTACTGAAAATCCATGACTCAATATATCCTTTTTTTTCCATGGCCATGTCATCCCATAGGCAATTCATGCAGCTCACTTTTTCTCCTCCTGCTCATGTTCCTGCTATCCCAGCCCTCAGGGATATCCATCTCACTCTGCTGCCCGTTGCCAACAAAGGGTTCCAGAATAAAGCCAGCAGGGTAGGACACTAACATAAGATGGAGTATTTCATGTCCCCAACACTGCATTTCACTTTTCAAGACAATCTAGCCTTAATCCCCATTTCAAGTACCAGTCCAGTATTTATCAGTATCCAAGCAAATTCTGAACTGAATCCCTGACATAAGCACAGTTTTATCACTTTATTTGTCTAAAAATCTAATTATCAAATTACAGCATGCATTTCCCATTTATCCCCCATGCTTAAAAAAATATGTCTAGCCATTGGCATAGCAGGATACTAGGCTAGTCTGTAGCTGCCTGGGTCACCTAATTTCCTGCACTTAAGTCCAGGCACTGTATTTCTCTTTCTCCAGTACTCAGATCCTCCAAAATTCAGAACATTTATGAGAACTTGCGTGTGCAGGGGCCTGTCACCACTTCTCTGAGCTTTGAGAAAGTGACTGTCTGCTTAATTTCTTCCAAACACACTTGAGAGCATTCAGATCTTTCAGGGTGGTTTTCCACCTTCTGGAGTGTCATCGTTATCCACTGTGTCTTGCTGATCCTTGTTAACTCCTACTCCTTTCCCAGATTGTCACCATTTCTTTTTCTGATTCTGTCAGGCAACTGTACATGAAGTTTACCCCTCACGACCCCAGTGTAAAGTGAGCTGAGCTATCTGTCTGTGCCTAAAGACAGCCTACAGGATCAGGTCAGAGGTGTGCACCCAGCACCTCTGTCAACCTTCTAAAGTAAAACTGGGAAAGCAAGAGATTGAACTCAAGCACCAACTGAGTTAACTTATCAAGTATGATAACCTTAGGAAGGAAAATGCCCACCTAAGAGGCTTAGACCATAAATTAAAATACTCTCTCATGACTAAGATGGTCGATTCAGCTACCAGTATCACCATCCACTTCCAATACTGGAAGATCATTAAAGGTTTTCACTACAAAATTCTACACACCAAAAAAAACATGAAAGGTAAAGAACTTCTCCAAATAATAGTTTGAAAAGCCTCCATGCTGAACCGTACAAGGCAGTTATCACAAACTAGCAGAGCTGTTTTCAGACCTAATTTACCAAAGTTACCTCCTAAACTGTATTTCAAGCTTTTAAAATGTATGCCAAGTGGCTACAGGATGTTCATCTTGCTCTATCAAGTGACTAATGAGCATGATGCTTTTCCTGAATGTTTGCCTGTAGAGAGATGGTAAAAGACACAAGCATACTGATTTCCTGATGGCCACTGGACAGCAGGAACCCCTGGTCACTGATACTCTAGCTCAGTAAGCAGGACCAAAGTCATACCTGAACCACCATGTCAGCTACAAAGTCTCACTTTCTTTCAATGTAGAATGAAACCCCAACTTCCTCTGATGCCCAGTGAGGCCAGAACAAATGGACTCAAGAGACAACGTAAAAGACACTTACACAACCGGTTGGGGTTAACATGCTGTTTCAGGAGATCGATGGAGCCGAGGCTGACAACAAGACGCCTTCCAAACCAGAAGGAGACCAGTGGCCCATATTTCTCATGAAGGTTGACAAGAAACTCATGTAAGCTGCTGCTGGCAATGATATCAGGCAGGTTGCCATCCCTGAGAAACACAGAGGATATCTGGTCATGAATAGCATCCTCTGCCAATGCTGAACTTCATCAATGTGAGACAGAAACCACTTACTTTTCATCAGTTGGAGCCAGCCCAGGGATACCTGATGCTTGCCTAGATGCCTAGAGTAAAAGGAAATGCATCAATCTACACGAACTTCAGATTTTATACAGGTCCCACACCTTTCCGGCAGGAGAGATGAATTTTCCGCACCAATACCACTACACTACTTACAAACATGAAACAGGAGCTGGGTATGCTACATCCTGCAGGCTTTAAACCTGCTAAGCCGATAAACCTCAACTGTGTGCCTGGTGCCACTGGCTAAACCAGGATTATTCATCTGTTTAGATCAAATATGTCTACGTAAAGATTTAAAGGGTCACGTTTGCAATGTAGAGTATTACACACTGATTTGCCTTGGAGGCCTGCAAAAATACAAGGCGAGCAGAGGACCGCGCCTTTGGAAAGCAGGATTCATCCTGGAGTCCGTAAGGCAGGAGGAGTGCCGGGGCTGCGCCGTCCCGGGAACGCCCTGCCCTCAGCTTCTCCCGCAGGCCTCTGCCACGGCCCGTCCGGGCCCCGGGCTGCGGGCCGGGGGGCACCGCCCGGGCCCAGGGGCTGCGACGGGCCCGGGGCTGCCTCGGCCCCGCGGCCGCTCGCTCTCCGCCCGCCTGCACCGGGGCCGGGCCGGGCCAGGCCGGGCAGGGCCGAGCGCCCCCCGCCCCATGGCCGGCAGCATTACCGGGTACAGGTAGAGCACGGCGCCCACGAGGATGAGCAGGAAAGTGACGGCGAAGATGGCGAAGTCCAGCATGGCCAGGCCGGGGCGGCGGAGCGGCGGCGGCTCGGCCCCACCCCGGGGCCGCCGGCGGGGCAGGAAGGGGCGGACCGGGCTGGGCAGGGAGCACGGCTCGGCTCGGCTCTGCTCGGCTCGGCTCGGCATGGGGAGCCCGCGGCGCCTGCTGCTGATCTCCAACTCCACCCTGCACGGAGGGGGGTACCTGGGCCACTGCCAGCAGCACATCCAGAGCTTCCTCGGGCAGTAAGCGCCGTGAGGGGCTGCGGGAGCGCGCCCGGTCCCCGCTTCCGCCGCGCCCACCGCTCTCTCCCCTCTCTCCTCTCCCAGGAAGGTGAAGCGGGTGCTGTTCATCCCCTACGCCCTGCACGACCGCGACGCCTACGCCCGCACGGCCAGGGAGAAGTTTGAAAGCCTGGGTAAGGCCGGCCCGGCTGCGGCGGCCACGGGCACGGAGGTGCGGGCTGCGGGCACGGAGCGGCCCGAGACAGCCGCGGGGCACACGGGCTGGGCTGGGCCGGGCCGCTGCGGCACGGGCAGCAAGGGCAGTGAGCAGCAGGAGTCGGCTGCGGACTTCTGCCTGGAAGGAGATGTTTTAGAGGCGTCCAGAAGAAATGCTGTTGCAAACACTTCTGCTCACTCCAGGGAAGAAGATTTTATCCCTAACTATTAAGTGGCATCTTTTTATCCTTCTTAATCACATGAGGGAACATTTCTTCCCATATATCTTAAACCTCTGCTCAAGCCATTGTTGTAAGTGAAGACCATTACTTAAAGCACATCAAGGAGCCGGATAGTTCCATGATGGACAGCTGAACTTTGCTTGGAGCAAAGATCTCTGCAGTCTACAGCAACACCTCCACCTAGTATCTATCACTGTTAAGGGTAACTTTGGAGCTGTTAGTGTAGTAATAATCAGTACTCACTTGCCTGGGCAGCACACTTTGCTCCTTGACTTGCAGGAAGATTGCTGCTGTCAAATGCCTGTGTTCTTCTGTCTCTCTTGACACTTCCTGTACTCGGTGAACCCTGGCAAGGCAAATCTATCAAAGTCAGACATTTTAACAGAAACAATACTCAGATCAGGTATTTGTACAAGAAGTGCTAGAACCAACACATCCTGTCAGACCTCAGCATAGCCAAGCTGAGGACTAACAGCTTTTTCCTCATTTTCTAGTTACCTGGTAATGCTCAGGAGGATACTGTGCCTTAGCCTGCACCTCCTGAGTGAAATGCTCTGCTCCTAGAAACTGAGTGCTTATCTCCACAAAACAAGTATTTCCTTTTGTATAGCTGTATTAGCCCTGAACTAATATAGGATGTACACTCTGTTTTACGTCATAGAGTTCTCTGAAATTTCCCTGGTTGAGATATTTAGCTCAGGGTTGGAGGAGGTGGGCAGAGAGGGATTGAACGTATCCCATTCTTCCACCAAACTTACATATTAAAAGGTAAATACATTTTTATTTAAGGTTATGGGCTGGACAGCATTCATGAATCTTGTGATCCAGTGGAAGCTGTAAGGAAATCTGAAGCAATATTTATTGGTAAGTTTTACTTCTTACTCCCCAGTGAAGGTTTATATAGGGCACTGGATTAGTCCTGCTCAGAGGTGGCACTGAAGACCAACAATTAAGCAGTTAGGCCTAGTAATTAGAAACTACAGAAGACAGTAATTGGGAGCCCTAAGACTCTAAATTTAGTGGTGGGCTGGGAAGTAGATTTATTAATGGAACTTCATCTCCACTAAATTTCAAATTATTATTTTGAAGAGTACTTCAGTGTAAAAACATGATCATAACAGCTGTATTATCACTTTAGCAAGTCCAAGAAGTTCTAGTCCTAATAGCATGGGTATTGGAACCTGGGTATTGGAAGAGAGGTCACTGTCAGACAGTGGCAGCCTTACAAGGATGACTCAGGGCATGCCCATGGCCTGCCCAGTAACCATTCCTCTGAAGCTTCTGCTTTTACTGCTTCTCAAAGCAGGATACTGCCCTGAATAGAGCATAGAACTCATAGTGCCTGCTGAGTTTGTGAAGGCTTCAATTAAAACTGATGGTGAAAGCATGCTAAATAAGCTGAACTTTGTTTCTGCAGGAGGTGGGAACACATTCCGTCTCCTGAAAGCTCTTTATGACAACTGTCTGATACATGAGATCAGGAAAAGAGTTCTTGAGGTAAAACTACAGATTCTGGCCAAGTCTGAAGGGCTGGATCTCATGCATGAGCTTTTGTTCAGACAAGTCCAAGATGATTCTGCATTTTTGTCTCTAATACACTTCAGCTGTCAAGCCATCTCAAACAACCTGGTGAACTGATAATCATGGCCAAATAAGGCTGCCATTGAGTCATTAAAAAGACTTAAGGTCAGCAGTCTGTCTTCCTAGAGCATGCTGGATTGCAAGACCTTGGGATGTACAATGCTACACAGAACCCTAGAAGCAAACCACTCAAAATGCCAGTCAAAAGACCAGTGCAGGATTTAATCTGTGTCCAGAAACCCTGTTTTTCAGCTTGAGATGTCCACTTCATATCTTGTTGATACAGATGTGTTCATGTTGCAGGTTGTCTGCTAATAAACTGGTGATAAAGTTGGATCCATATGTGCCTTTTAGACAGTGTCCTGTTGATGTTGAAAATTACATAATTCTTGTATCTCCTTGGAACTGAGAGGTGTGAGTGCCATTGAGCCCCTCTGGTCAGCAGCACCAGTCCAGCTGGTGAATCTCATAAGGCACAGCAAAGATACACCATCTCTGGAGGAGAACAGAAGCAAGGTGTTCCCTAGTAATGTGGAACTGCAAATGACTTTATGCAGATTTATAAAAGCCACAGTAAGGCCAGCTGCCAAGAATAAAGGTTAGCTAGGCTTATCTTAATATATAGAAATTCATCATCTGTTGTGGGAATGAAAGCCAAAAAATGTCCAAATGCCAGTTAAGTCTGGATAACTACATGGTTATATTACCATCAGTTGTCTCAAGACAGCTCTATTTTTACAAATTGCTCAGGATTACCTGTACACTTGCATATTTGTGTGGCATTCTTCTATGTACAGCATGGTACTCAGTACTAATAGCTAAACTGGTCATGGTTCTGGTAAGTGGATGCTGTGACAACATTGCACTGAGCTTGCTCTCTCCAGAAGCTAGTTAAAAGCCAGTTCAGATATTTCCTGTAACTGCAATAGAGGCAAGTCTCTCCTCTTAATAGCAAAGTTCAACATGCACTGACAGCCTGGTAAATTCTGTCCTGGGGGGTCATAGAGTTGTGAGTACAGGCAGGCAGCAGTTAGTTCTCTGACACAGAGAAGGTACTGCCCACCTCAGAATCTGAATTCTTGTTCTGCTTTTCACCTGTAAAGTTACCAGTAAGAGGAGCTGGAAGCACTAAGTCTGATCTGACTGATGGGTTTCTGAGACTGATAGAAGATGGTATAAAATTGAGTTCCTAGTTGTGGTGCTGCAGACTGATCATTGCTTTTGTCTTTCAGGATGGGATTCCTTACATGGGATCCAGCGCAGGAACCAACGTTGCTACTGTCAGCATCAATACCACCAATGACATGCCAATTGTTTATCCACCTTCCCTGCAGGCTCTAGGATTAGTTCCTTTTAATATTAACCCCCACTACCTGGACCCAGACATTAAAAGAACTCACATGGGTGTAAGTAAAGCACACCAGAACTCAGACAGTAACTAGGGTGTGGAGGAGTAAAAATAGTGTGCATTTCTGAGGCCTTATAAAGCTATAGAATGTCAAACAGCTGCTCCCTAGAGAAAATGGAAATGCCAATGAGGCAGTAACACTTCACTTCCTCCTAAGACTTAACTTTGCTTGGGAAGAGGAGTTGGCAGGAGTATTACTGAACAAAGTGTTTTTCACAAACAGAAGCTCTGCAATGTTTGAAATACCGTTAAAATGCTGGCTATCTGGCATGGAATGGGGGAATTAAAAAAGAAAAGATAAACCTGAAGTGTTAAGATGCAAAACACTGTTTCTGGAAAGTTCTGTCTCACCTGCTGCTTGGGAAGCCCTAACTTAAACATACATTAAGAGGCTTAAATATCTAAAGGTCTGAAGAAACAATCAGAACAGAGAGATGTTGAGATTCAAACAGTTGTGTAAGAAAATACCTGGGCACTGGTGTCCTTGCAGGGAGCACAGCCTGTAATGTCCAGTACAGAGCAAGAACATGCACCAGTACCGCTGAAAGAAAAACACTTCAGCCATCAAGCACAGATTTCCATACAGTGGGGAGGAGCTCCTTCTTGAAATAGCATGTCAGCTAATTCCTCAGGGAATAATCTGTGTGGTGCATCTTTTAACAACCTAAATACTTACCTCCTTGTAATCAAATTTCATGGTTAGAGGAAGTATTAAGAGTTAGGGAACAATGAAGATGGTGGATGCTTCTAGATAGGTGAAGAGATGGGTGTGCTTCTAGAATTTAGATGAAGTTGTAGGTATTCATTTAATCAGCTTGTCACTAGATTAGCAGGCAGTCTTTTCCCTATAAATAACTTCTGTTCTTTCTCTCAGAGGAGGCTGGAAGCCCTGTGCTGTACCAAGTCCCTGCTGTGTTCCTATGTTTTTATTTCTTTACTGCTGCTCAGTTTAGCAGCAAACCTCAGTAAACATGACAGAGCTGTTCACAGAAGGAAATTCTTCAGTGTAATACCTACTTGAAGACAAACAAGCAAATATTTAATGACTGAAAATCCATGATTCACTACTCTCTTTCACAAAGGTTGCACCTCAGGCATTTGCTTCTACCACTTTCCTGATAGTATTAGTACTACCTCTGCACACAGAGATAGTACTAATTAAAAAAAACCCCATGGATTAATTGAGTGGAAGTAAGTTTTGAGGTTTTTTAGGGTTGGGATTGTGTGAGTTCTGTTTGATCAACCTGCAGTAAATTGCTGCTAGTGATGAAGGGTAAAACACATATCTATTAAATAGAGTCAATCCTGCCATCCCATTCTGCTTGAGTGGAAGTGCCTGCTTTGTTTAATGTTATGAAATTATTTGATGTCATGTGGCCTGGATAGCTCCAAGTCCTTACCTTATGGCCTGGGAAGCTAAATCTGTGCTCATTATTGCAGGAGACAAGAGAGGAAAGAATCCGCCAGTACCATGAAGAACCAAACACGCCTCCAGTTCTGGTGAGTAGTAGTTCTCCATCAGGAAGCTGGAGCATGATAAACATTTTAAATGCATTCATGCTAGCTCTCACTGTGGGTTCCTTGCCTGTCAAGCCTTACAATTCCATGGATTGGAATGCTAATTGTACTCTTGCTAAGAGCTTGAGCCTTGGATATTGCTCATTGTAGAAAATGGATTGGGGCCAATGAAATGCATACTCCTGTTAGTGTTGCTCAACACTATTTTAGGCAGCTCTGATCTTCCCAGTCACTGGCCACCAAATATTGGGTGTTGGGGGTGATGTGCATGCAGATGGTACAAAACTCCCCCTTAATCTTTTTGCAGATACTCTTAACTTTAATCTCTGTAATAGTTTCTGAATTTGCACATTCAGTAGTGTATACGTAATTTCATTATGTCTGTCTGGGGAATTGGGACTTCTATGTTTCCTGTCCCTGTGTTTGATCTTGTACTATAAATTTTGTGCACTAACACACCCACTGGCTGTTGCTCAACCCAAACTGGATCTAAGAATAACTGTGGGAAAAACCAGTTTCCTCTCCTCCTTAATGGTTTCTCCTTTAAGAGTAAAAACTGAAATAAACAAGAAAATCAACTTCTAAAACAAGATAACTCACCTATTTTTGTCTTTACCTCTTTGTTAGGTAAGTGAGAAGGCTTAGTCTGTAGTCATGGTGCCACTGAGACTGGCCTGCTTGTGACAAGCATTCTACCCTTTCACATAGCTTGAAAATAATTTTAAATATTTCCACCTCCACCAGGGCTTGCGGGAAGGTACGATGCTGTTAGTGGAAGGAGATAAAGCCACGCTGCAAGGAGTGACAGGAGCACGTCTGTTTTTGAGGTAAATGCATCACTTGAATTGCTATCCTCCTTCAGACAGAAAGGAAGAGAGGTTTCTGTTAAACTCCTGGCACAAGGTGCCTGTCCCTCCACCAGAAGTTACTTAATCCCTTGGTTCCATTTCTCTTTGGAGAAAATGCGAGTATTGTTTAATGCTCCAGAGGAGCCAGCAGTATGACAGCACTGCAAAGGATGTCTGACTAACCCAGTGTGTGCTCTAGCACTGCATCCATTGCTGCTTATGTTTCCAAATTCTAAACAAGAGCCCCAATAATCAGCTCCTTTATTGAAAGCCAGGGAAATGCCAATTTGGCCCTAATGCACTGAATTCCAGAACAAGGGAGTCCATATCTAGAATTACATGGACTTTATTGAGAAATCTAAAATGCATGTGACATGATGGAATCAAAACTCTGCTTGTTCAAAATAAGGGTGCCTTGATCTATCCCTAGTAACAGATAGGAGCAGAGTAGTCCCACCTCCCATTAAAGCTCACAGCATGGTTTCTCTTGTTTGCAGGGGTAAGAAACCAACTGAACATGAGCCTGGAACAGATTTCAGTTTCCTCCTGACTGACAGCAATCCCCTGAATCCATAGCCTTCCATATTCTGCAGCAAAAGTTACTATATAGGGAAGACACCGAGGAAAAAGGAAAGATATGCTTGTTGTCCCAGAGTAGGTGGGGTACTTCAGCTTTATAAATAAAGATCAATATGCATTAGTGGACTCTTTTCCTCACCCCAATGCATGCCTCAGACACCTCCTTCCCAGCAAAAAGACACTTTTTGTTGCAATACTGGAAGAATCATAGCTACTCAAAGCTTGAAGGGGCCTATACATTCACACATCCACTTTGATTCCTTCCCCACCAAAATAAAAAAAAGTTGCCTTAATACAATTAAGACAGGACACTGAGTCAGCTCTTCCCACTGCCTACTTTTACCTGCTACATAAAAGAATTGTTCCTTCAGTGTACTCCCACACTTAGTTTAATTTTTGTGCTATTAATAAAGGGAGAAGTTATGCATTCAATTACTTTTATTTGCTTCAGACTCATGTTAAATATATACAATGCTAATTATGTACAAAAGTGTGCATGTTAAAAATTTTCAGGTTACAAACTTGCAAATCCTAGAAAAGTGCAAAATTTTAAAACATCTTCCACCATGCTGTACAGGAAAAAAATCCATCATTAGCCAATATACACACTCTTAAAACATATTGATCAAACCAAAGTAAGACATACAGTATACTCTTAAAGCACCCAGAGGGAAAAAGATATTGCACAGAAGACAGACAGCAAGTTCATTACAGTGCCTGAAGGCTCATTTCTGAAAGTAGCTATTTCCAACACTCCTCAGACCTAACATTTAATTCTTTGAAAAGGCATTTTTTGGCATTTAAAGATCCATTTGTAATCACATAATTGCACAATCTGTAAGAATTATCAGAAGATATGGTTAACTTTGCTGTAAGACCTTTGCTTCCACCCCCTGATTAGCTTCAGTAAAAAATCATCAGAAAACTGAGTAGCATCACAGCTTCCATCAAAACACTGACCAAAGGGAGGTAAGTCTCACATGCAGCATTTCCCTTGTCCTAAGTAGCTCCTGCAGAATCAGAATACATATTGCAAGTTTTTCTTTAATTCTTTTTTCCCTCTCATGGCTTTCTTTAAGAAACAACTCACTGCTGCATATGACTAAAGTAGTACTATTAGGTGCAAGACTTCAGTTTATTTTAAAGCTATTTCAAGGCAAAAAGTATGGCTCCCTTGAGAGGAAAATACTGACTAGACAGGAAGCTAAATAAACAAGTGACCTCCAAGTTCAGTTAGATCTATGATATATATGGCTGGATGTTTTATATTCCAATCTCAAAACCCCTTAGCAGCTTTAAACCATAATCTATACTGACAATCATGCTTCTGGGACAGAAGATGTCTGATGAAATTATGTCTTTGCTGAGTATAAGCATAGACCTGAACTCTGGAAATACCTGCCAAATTTCTCAAGTCCACTGGACAAAACTAGGAAGAACACACACTGAAGGAACTCTATTGAAAACAAGTGAAACACCTATTTTATTTGGGCCACATAGGTAAGTGATAACTAAAAGAAAGACACACCAGTCTTCTTCCACAGATGCACAATAAAAAGGCGAGTAAAAACTGAACAAAGGCTACCTTAGACTAAACACTGCAAGCAGTTCCTCACTTACAGGGTGTTCAAGACTGCAGTAAGGTGAATGGCACTCAACTGAAATGCAGAGCATGCTATGGTGCCACTCGGGCATTTTTACATTCAGGCATCTGATATCCATAACACTGAAGAAGGGAATAATAGCATTTTACCAAATTTTAAATATATTTTTTTAATGCAGTAGCTTTCTAGAAAACTTGCTTCCTTCAAAAGTATGTGCTTACAAGGGCAATTTAGTAATAAGATTGGCTCCTTGGAATGAAAGGAAAGACATCTTCCAAACACTTCAGTTGACTCTAACATTGGCATACAATGAACCCACATGTATATGAAACCATGGAAACTTACTCTCCCCAAAGGGAGACTACCAGCAAGTGTCATGTTTGCAGCCATAACCAACACAGCTTTTAAGCTAGAAAGCATAAGACCTAGAAAGCACTGAAGCACATGCTTGAATTTCCATTCAAATAAATACAAGCCTATGTAGTGCTTTCATATAACAGTATTGATTACATCAGGCCCTAGGCTCACTTTAGGCTATGCATTTAATGGGCATGGGTTTTTTTTTTAATTCTTTGAAAGGGAAAAAATATTCCCAGCACCTCAGCTCAGCATTTAACATAGTCAGCAAGGTGCCTTTAGCAGTGAAGACTGGAATGTTTCAGGTGACAATACAGAGCATGTGTCTACAGAGACTCTCAATATAGAGACAGAAGGAAGTCGAAGGAAGTCGACATCTCTACACCCCTTCTACCTCTAAAACTCCCTACCACTCTATATTTTATCTGTATATAGATACACATTTCCAACTAATTACACATACACAGCAAAAGCTTTGTGCAGCATTTGGTTCCTTTACTTATCTTTTCTAATGATTTTGTTCATTAAGATTGGGAAAGGTTTGCAAAGGAAACAGGGAGGAGGAAGACATGGTTTAGGGAAGTGAGGTATACAGCTCCCATTGCCTAAAGCAGGAGTTACCAAATCTGTGCATTACAAAAATAAATTCATCATTCCTGCAGGACTATGTTAAAGAATTTTTCCAGTGCAGAAACTTAGTTCTTTGCACTCATTTAAAGGACAAAGAAATACAACTTTTAATACAAAGAAATACAGCTTTGGGGATCCTTGTAAGACAGCCAATTGATTTGGCCATTTAAAACCTGTGAAGACTGATAAACCTGTTTTGTGATAATATGCATCATCTAAGGTATGCCAGAGGGGAAAGAGCTTTTTTATATCAATGCTGCAGATTAGCAAAGCAATTATAATATGGATGTGGATGAGTTTGGTTTTTTTTTTTTGGAGAGGAAGTTGTGGGGGTTGGGGGTAGTTTTGTTGGTTTCGTTTTTTTCTTTTTTTACTCTTTTTAATATCAAAAAATTGTTTTCCTAAGAAAATCTAATTTCCACAATGTGTCTTAACCACCAGGACAAGTGCAGTTACTTTAGGACTGGGATTACAACGTTGTGCTGGTAAAGGTACATGGATGACAGAAGATGTGGTTTCTAGATATCCTAGGTGTGAGTAATGGATAAGTACATTGGTTACAGAAAAATCTGCCTCAGTCAGATGCTAACTTGAAGAGCATTTCACTTTCTGTATGCTTGTGTAGTTCAAACCCAGCAAAGACCAGATGGGATTCTTCACTACAGCTAAAAAGACAACTAAAAATACTATCAAGAATTATAAGTAAATTGATTTAGAGAAATTTAACAAACATTTTACTTGAAATAAAGGAGACATGTCTTCTAAATATCCTTTGGTACGCAATTCAAAACTGTGCTACGAAGAAGTTAATACTGCTAACTACTTAATCTCATTTATATACAGGTATGAAAAGTAGGTCAGTTTTCAGTTTCTTTTAGATATATATATTTACACTTCTACTTACTCATCTTCAAAGGTAAGCATATGTTAAACTTTGATAAATATTATTAGAGTTATTCCAAAAATTAAACATATGAAGATATCACAAAAAAGATCTTGACAAATGTAGTGCTATGAAATAAATGTCACTTAAGACTTGTTTCTTCTAAATTCCTCATTGGAATACTATAATCTTAAAACTTTGCTTTTTACACTTAAACAAACCTTTGAACAAAACCGAAGGAGAACCTTATTTCACCAATACTACCTGAAAAAAAAAAAAAGGATCCTAAGCTTTATTGACTTGAGAAAATCAAAGAATTATGAAAGTCAGTTCACCAATTCACAGTGCACTGCATAACAGGCTGCAATTCAACGGACTAAACAGCTGATCAGAAGAATTATTTTCTATTTTTAAACATTATTTTCTACTTTTTATGCAAATAAGTTAAACCTAAAAGAAACAACATACCAGCCAATGCTCACACTTATGACTCATCTTTTATTTAAAGCTGGTTTTAAACAAAGGCAAAGTGCAGACTTTCACAGCCATGGAGGTCTTTCCAGATGGCCTCTGGCAAGGATGCCAAGCTGTGATGTTGTACACCTCCCACCCCAAGGAGCAGATCTCAGATCCAAAGGCCATGGATGTTGCCATTCTACCTGGGGCATAAAGCAGCAGCTCAGAGCTCACCTGCCCCCTCCTCATTCTGCTGCTGCTGCTTTGTACTGAGCACAGACCAGCCTTGAGTTGGAGAGCCCAAGAACTGTCCACATTTAAACCTGGCCCAGGTATTTGTGATGATCACCCAGTGCTTGTGATGCACTGAAATTATGGTATTCCAATGTCAAAGGTCTTAATCATAAATTATTTCAATTATTGCCACATTATATTTTACTTAAACTGACACACTATATTCATTATTCTTTAATATTGAAAAATGTTAAGTCAGCTGTTGTATAAACGTACCTAACCCACAATAGGATGTTTTAAAATGCTTATACAAACCCCTCTGTGCAAGTGACAAGAAAAAACTGTGCTCCCACCAAACACTACATAAGACCCATCTCCCCTCTTCACTTCGTTCTCATAGCCTAAAACATGATAATTTCCTGCCCCCTTCCCCTCCAAATAAAGACTTAGCCTTATCTATGCATTTAAACACAACATTAATGCACACCTATAAAACCCATCAATTCAATGCCCCAACTGAGTGTTTTCAACCTCCCATAATACAGAAAGAGCTCACATTCTGAGCTGAAATACTTTTAAACTAATCTACAAAGAGCTCCCCTGAAATCCTTTCTTCGTGAAATCATAATGGACAAACACACTTCACATTCTCATGAACAAACTTAATACTTCCATAGTATCCTTAGTATTCTTACTGGATAGGTAACTGATTAAAAATAGTAATTTTCACTTCTCTATAGCTTATTTGAAAATATGGGATGTGGGTTAATTTACATTTTTTTCACATATTTGGAGTATGAAAAAACCCACATCACTCTACTTTTGGAAGTTTAATCTTCTCTTGGCAAGTGACTCAGGAAAATAATTCTTATTTTCTCCTAACTTTCCAGACAATCCAGTCTGTCACAGTGAATAGGCAGAATATTGCAACTATGCATAGACCCACTTGTTCACTAATCTGATTTATTATTTAATTTACAAAAGTTAAGAAAATGCAACACAGCTTTCTTTACAAGTACACCAATCAGCCATCAAGAGGGATTTTTTTTCCAGTAAAGAAAGTGAGGAGAGGAAATCAGTTTGAATGAGACTAACACAACTTGTAGAGATAATCCTTTAGCAGGGTAAGGAGATATTTCTATAAAGTCAATAAATATTGTGCTTAAAGTTAATGAAATGAGATTATACATTATGTTCCTCAGGTAGTTCAACAACTCCCCAGCCACAGGGCATATGTGATAACATTTATGTGAGATACAACACACATTCATTTCAATAAATAAATAAAAAATAACAAGAAAAGCGATAGTAGAGGGAAGAAATGGGGACCCAAAAGGGAACATATTAGCTAACAATCACACCTGCCTTGTATCTGTGCCCCCCTCACCCCATGGGATTTTCTTCTTTTAATACATACATGAATATACATATATACATACACACACATATATACACATACACACACACACCTTCGCATGCTGATCTGGAAATTCGTGTTTTCCCTCAGCACCCAGCTTTTCTAACAGTATAGAGTTTATCATTTCAATCAGTAACATTAAAAAAATATCAGATTGCTAGGAAAATGCACCCTTCTATCATCATGTATTGCTAAACAAACAATCAAAAAAAAAAATCAGTAATGGCTTCTCCAAAACATAGTAAGCAATTTGATAGAGCACACGTAAAGATCTGATATTTTCTTTAACCAGGTCTTAAATGCATTTTGAAAATGGATATATCATCTGGTTTTCCCTGTTTATTTTTACAGAAAAGAAAATATGGCTAACAACTGGATTGGTGAACACCAAGAAACAAACAGGTGCTATTTTTAATTGAATTGTGCTGCAATGTTGCATAATGATTCTGCAGTGGAAATTTATCTTTTGTTTGCAGAAGTTGCCTTACTAATAAAGCAGATTGATATCTGACCAATATAGATAAGAAGTCTTCCTGGGTATTTCTGCAAGATGTTAAATATATAATAGGATTTCTTGGTGTATGTCTTAAGTTTACTTAACAATATAAATAATTTTCAGCAGCAATATTTCCTACCTCCTTCAGCTCCTTCACCACCTTCAACTCCTTTAAAGTTATTCATGTCTGTACTTAAAACAATTTCTGATAAAGTAGTGCAACACAGATGTCCCTTGCAGAACAGCCTAAAATTGGAACTACACAAAAGAAGTGAGCAATAGCCATTTACACAAACAAACTGTAATAAAGTTGATTAGGCTAACAAATGTACTGAGAAGGTCATAACCATCATCTATTCAATTCTGAATCCAACCACTGCAACTACCAGAGTTTTAATTTACTGGGAAATAACAGTGCTGTCAAAGCAAAGCCAAATATCTCGTTTGTTATCAAGGAGCATCTGGCCCTACTCAGCTTTAAATCAAACACTACTTATCTTAAATTCAATTAGTAATCTGGGGGTTTGAAGACTTCTGGGGGGATGGTTCAGGGTTTTTTTAGTCCTCCCAAAACACAGTTTTAGCAGCTGTTGAGAGAGGGATTTTGCTGTGAACAAGTCAACACAGTTGAGGACAAATATGCAAGCAGGCTAACTTGCATGAGTACATATGCTTACTACTATACCTCTACCATAAGTTCTTCATCAAGAATCAAAGGGCTTCAGATTCAAAGCCCTAATTACATATTTATACATCTAAAGTGACCAAAAGATTAAACATTTTTCTGGAATCCATGAGAGAATGTAGAAGCAGCAATCACTTGGAATCTTGAGTGTTATATTCAGTCTCTCCTGCTGAAATCTGGCTGAGCCGTTTGCTTGATCCCCACAGCTTTCGGGAAAGCTGACCTGAGCGCATCTGTTTGAAAGTAATTCAGAGAAACAAAAGGAGGGGGAAGGGATAAGGTGGATAAATTAAAAAAGAATTCAGACACTGAATCTGGTGAAATGCAGACACTACAATGTACTGCATAAACAAAATATACCAACAAAAATTCTTTGAAAATAAACTAAAAGTTACACTTAGGGATTATTCTTGGGACTGACAAAAAACAACACACAAAACACACTAACCACAGTCTTCTCTGAATTTGAACAGTTAAAGGGGTATTACCCACTAATGTGTACTTATATGCTTAACCTACTTCAAACAGATTAGAAAGAGCGTTTAGATTGCTATTTTGATAGGAAGAGAAAAGAAGAGGTGAATGCCAAGCAAAAATGAACTAAATGTGAAGAAAGGACATTTTATTTTAGAGATTTCAAACAGAAATTGCCAGAAGTGGGAAAAAAATAGCCAAGATGCAGGACAGTGATAGCAGAATAAAGGAAAAAGAGAAAGGTTATCTCCTGGTATCAAATTTATACAGTCTTCCAAAGATCCTGGGTGAAGTGCTCAGAGGAATGTTTAAAGCAGAACTAATTCATAGAGTATTCCATAGGATAAGATGGATAACAAGCAACCAGAGGCCATATTAAATCCAGCATCTGGTAGGTCTACAGTCTGACAACAGTTTGTAAGAAACTCTTCATTACCTAAGCACAAGGTTGATGATTGGCCAGTAGTGATCAGCCTGGCAGCTGATTAGGTTCTGAAAATCCCCACAGTTCAATAAATAAGATCCATGCCTTCACAAGTTTGAGAACAGCTCCTCACAGTTACTACTACAAATGTTACCAGCTTCTGAGCTATATTAGCACAGCAGCAGTGTTCTAGAAAAGGCACAGCACTGATCAGGATTAACACTAACAAGTGATAATTGCCCAGACTTCTGCAACATCCAAAACAGCTAAGTAATTGTTAAAAAATATAAAAGCATTTATTATACTCCATATTAGAAACTGTCAGTGCAGAAACACTAAGGGCCAATCTTGATAGCAAGCAGCATTTCACTTTTTGCACATTAAAGCAAGTCTGTGCCAAGGATCCAATCCTCTGTCCTAAGGATCAATATCACCACTGAAAGCCAGAACTACAACACTGTCTTTGCATACAGATAAAGTTCCAGGAATTAACACATTCCTTCCAAATAAGTCATTCAACAAATGAACACCACACATACACACACTTTTCAAATATATTGATTGATGCCATTATAGAAAACTAGAAAATCTGGGGCATAATGTTGTTCCTTATATGTTTGTGTTAAAAAAAAAACTATTTACATGGATATTAAGCTTGCATATCATCTGAACTGTAAACAGAAAATCCTGGGAAAAAAGTCACTGGAAAGCCTCTATAATGATAAAGGGAATCCAGTCTTTGAAACAACATTTTCTGCATAGTTAGAAAAATAGATGTGATTAAAAAATGAAAATAAGAAAACAAAAAGCCTTCAGTCTAATGATACACACAAATTTCAGCCTACAAAAGATCTTTTCTATGGAATAGGAAGCTTAGAAATGACAGTGGCTTTAAAACTGCTGTTACAACCATATGTTTAACCACATAATAATCATCTCTTTTTCAATTCTACAATAGAAAACTGAAAGTCAGTGGAAATCTCCCCTCCACATCCAGTGCAAGCAAAATCAGACTACCATTGTGTGAATATTTTTCCAATATCAAACTATGTATATCCTAGCAAGAAAATTTAAAAATACTGACAAATAAAGTTGCTCTGTTTTCACATTTAGAATATAAAATAGAATTAATACACACTTTTCCAGCATGTACTTAAGATCATGCAAAAGTGATAATCACATTTTCAAATAAATACATAGCAGCACAACAGAGATTGAGTTATAAAGATAATAAGCAGTTTTAAGTTAACTCAAGTACTTTGAAAGTCATTACAAGAAGTAATTAAGCAAAAACTATGGTTTTGCACAAGAAAAATTTGGCATATCTATTTGAGAGATGGATGCTCTGTAATTGATATTGTATATGCAGAACCAGCAAGTTTCTATTCACCATATGGAACACAAGCATACTGGGAACCTACAGAAGTGATTCCCTGTGCACTGCCATTAGAGACTCTCAACAGAAATAAATAATACCTTTTTCCCCAATGTCAGTCAATGCATATTAAAAGATATCTGATAGAAACCATAAAAAAAATAAAGGAAGTAGCTTGCTCTCTTTCATTTCCAATTTTCTTCTGGAAAATTATTTCATCAAGAAGAGGCTGACAACACTATCCCATTCAGAAAAGGTTAGCTATTATGACTTTGCTTATTCAGATGTGAGTGATAAAGTCTGGAAGTTAGTCCAGCTGAGCTTCCCATCTGCGATCCCTATACACATCTGATTCTTAATCAGAACTTTCAGCAGAGCAGTCTCAAAAGTTATTTGTTTCCCACTGAAAACTGAAACTTGCTCTTAAATTTACCCTGCCATAGAGGAGACCTCTTGCTCAACTGGAAAGCAGAAATAAGTGAACTTCCCACTGTTCGGTAGAAAAAGTTCTTGATGGTGGGTTTTACCTCTGCCGGCTTGCCAACACCAACGATAATCAACTTGCCGTCCTCCAAGCCAACAAGGATGTGGCTGTACTCTTTGGTGACAGAAATGCAATGGATTGGCAGTCTCATGGCTAAGGGAGAGATGCTCAGACTCAGGCTGGAAGGAACAAAAACCACAGAGAGAAAGTAAGTCATGTATTTGCTTGCACGTACTGCAAAGAATCTCATGCAAGTGAAATTGCTGTCCACGAGATGCACTATAAAACACAGTTTCTCAAGGATAAAATTTGCAGTTTCAATTATCTTACTGCATCCTAAAAATCTAATTTTATCCCAAAATAGAGCTTCAATAACAAAAACAGATGTGGATAGGTTAAGTCAGTAAGCTAAGACACTGAAAAACAGTGACATTAATCCCACAGCTGCCTATGTGACAAACATCCCTCCCATTCTGAGGAGCAATGGAGCTCTACAGATCTAAGCAGTAAGTGGAGCTTAAAACTTGGTGCAGAACTATGTGAGGCTTGATCCTGCAATTGCTGAGCTCCCTGTGACTAATCACAGCAGTTTGCAAACTGACAGCTCCTCCTGCCAGTTCTAGATGTTTAATTGGGATAAATATCTGGCAAGAAAGAGATCTGCTACAACCTCTCATTTTATTTTTCTCCACATCTTAGTTCCACCAAATTTTTTTTTTGGGAACACAGGAAGAGCAACAACTATCCAACTATCACCTATAGCACCAAGCAAAGTTTATTACACAGCCATTTCTCTATAAGGCTCCATATTTGTATCTCAGTACAAATGCTGGTACATTACCTGTAGAGATCCCGTATGGAAAGAAATCCCTGCAAGCTGCCCATGACGATATATTCACCAGTTACACACAGATCAGACACTTCCTCCTTCAGAGTCTCAGAACCCAGATATTTCCCATTGACAGAATAGAGATGTAATGCATTCTTATCCTGAAGAGATCAAAAATAAATATGTCACAGAGGACCGATAGGATGAAGAGTGTTGTACTTGTATCTTTTGCTCATTAAAAAGCACCAATTTGGCAACAACCCACAGATGATAATGCTGACAGCAGTCTCCCTGTTGAATGATGCAAGAGTAGTGAGCCTATACTCAATGTGTGTGGAGGTAAGGTCCTGTATAGAAGTTTTTGAAGCTACCTCTTGATGTAATATTGTAGCCCATTCAATCAATTGTAAATTTCTTGGAAACATCCATGGATTTAATAGACAGGTCCCTATTTTTTGTTAAGAAAGAAGAAAGCAAGATTGCACTCATCTTCAGCCTTGCTACCACCCCCCATTACTCTCTTGCCCTCCCAAATCCAAAAGCAGAAGGAAACAAGCTTTTCATATTTCCACAGAGCTAGACCCAGAAGCATTTTCTAGACAAGCCAATGACTTCTTGCTGCATTACAGATGCAAATAACAAAACCATCTTAAGTTCTTCCAGCCTGGCATAACCTTGAATCTCTTCTCTCCCCATCTTCCTAATGTAGTTAGTATGCCTACATCAGAGATTTGTTTTCCAAGAAATCTCCCAGGTTTAAGGAAATCACAACAGCTCTACCATTATTAAAGCAAGTACACAGCTCAACAGACACAACCTTATAGCTGTATCTCCAATCCCAAACTAAGAAACGCCGTGGACGCTGAGCATCTTCCATCCAGAACTTGCTGCTCTCCTTATAAGCCTCTGTTCCTGTGCACAGTGGAACTTGTTTCTCCTAATTTTCCTGTCCAAAGTGGCCCTCCCAGGAAGACACACTAATGTATGCTTGAACATCTTGCAGGTGTTTGGAGATTTTCATGAAACCCACAGAAGCACAATATGCCTGTCACTTACCTTTAACCAAATTTCACTTGAATTGGCCAGCAAAATTAAAAAAAATATGGAAACTGACACTGCACGCTCAAAAAGCCTCATTACTACAGGAAATGAGATAAAGTTAGATACACTTATGAATAAAATCTTCAGTGACAGAAACAGAGGTTTTCCACAAACTTAAGTACCTTGAGAGTAGTCTTTCCTTCCACACTGGTGTGGACAACTATATGGCCTTCCCAGGACACAGCCAGATTGGGAACAGTCAGCAGGAGAGAACTCTCACACGGGGGTCGCAGAGTCCTCACGTACTGACCTTTCCGAATGGTGCGGACAATGACGGTGCCATCCTGCAGCAGGCACATCAAGGGCAGTGGATATTCAGCAGGACAGGATATTCACAACACTCAGAATTTACATACACAGTACACAGGGGACACTCTGAATGCACTTCAATCCTTAGTGGGAGATAAGGACTCCTGAGCATTAGGAACTCTTCACAAAGAAGTCTTCCCCTCAAGACCATGTACTATAGGCATGTGAAAAAAACAAATGCAAGTAGGGCAAGAGGGAGGATAGGCAGCAAATCAGCCACTTCACAGGTCACATTTATGAGTAGGCATTACATGGAGTACAAAGCCAGACTTCAGCAGCCTGCCTGTGCAGTACAGTAAGGCATAACATGAGCAAGTGGCACAGAACCTTCAGGGTTAACAAAGCAGGGAAGAAACAATCAGAACACTGCTGCTATGAGAAGCTTAAAATCTCCAAGAAAGTCCACACATATTAAAGCTCATCTGTGCAGAATTCTAACACCACACAGTAGGTGAGGTCTATGCTCTGCACAGCTGTTTGAGATAGTCTGATTTAAGCAGACAGCAAAGGGGAAGGCAAATATCTTCTTGATAAGCAAGGCTTAAGAAAGAGATTGTGAAATAGTGACTTTTTTTTCTATTATTCTTAATCAACTTCAAACATCTGATATGGTTTGAGTTTGGTTGAGAAGAGGCAAAAAAAGACAAGTAGGAAGGTGCTTACCCTGGATCCTGACACTGCCATGTCCAGTTCAGTGCTGATGCCAACACTCGAAACTTCATCTGTGTGCCCATAAAGGATCTGTAATGGCTTAGGTGCCAGGCCTACAGGCACTCCTCCCTGAGAGTAACAAAAAGTGCAATGACACATTCTCTTGCAGCTGAAGGACAAACAAAAAATGAACTTCTGGTATCTTCAGTACCAGTTGTGTGAGGTGTATATTTGATAGAAGTCAGAGCCAAAGGCATAACTCACCACTCCAATATCAATGTATTACCCTCTGTCAGCACCTCACTTACTGAAATCCCCAGAATGAATGAACATGTAGTTACTGCGTGGCTGTGAGAGACAAGGTTACTTTGCTGACTTCCCTCCTACCCCTGCAGGTGTCCAGGAGTGCAAGGACAACAGTGAGCAGGCCTAACAGGAGTTGTTCACATACCCCATCCACACACTCGTTCCTCACCTGTGTATCTGGGCTTGTCCAGTTCTTAGAGTTTACCCTGGAATCAAGCACTATCTTCACAATCAAGCTTAAAAAAAGCTGAAATTGACTTTTATTTTACTTAAAATAACAGCAACTCTTTCCATTTTCCAAGGAAAAGGAAGCAAATAGTACTTCTCAGTGACTACCAGTAGTAAAATACACAAAGGAAATCTTGGAATAATGCTCATTAAAAATAGCAATGCCCCCACGTAACTCCAGGTATCACAGCTTTTGTCCCAGTGAGTGCACTGTCAGCATATACAGACTTATTCTCAAACAAGTTCTAAGGAAAGAACTGTCCTTAAAGAGAAGGTACTGTAAATAGTCCTACAGAGAACTATTTATTTTCATTTCTGTGATAAAGATTTGTTTGCCAATCAGGCCCTGAAAGCCTGAAGCATGCAGGTATACAGAACAAGTGTCAAAATACAGAAGGTGTCACTGCAGAGAAGACAAGTAGAATGGAAATGCCAGTACGCAGTCCATACGCTGCCACTTTGTAAAGACCAAGTTAGAAGTCTCACAAGAAGCATTTACTATGCATAAAATAGCATTTATGTATCTATTAATAAAAAATACATTAAAAATCTTCAGAAAAAGCACTTCTAAATAAAGATCATTTCCAGAGTGTGAGTTAACTCACCATGAAAAGATAAACTAAAAAAATCTCCAACATTTATCCCCACTTGAGACAAAAAGCTACTTGTATGAGCACTAAGGTCTTACTTTTTTTGACCATGCACTGTAACTACAAAGTACTTTACAGAATTATAAATACTCCCACCATAAAGACAGCTTCCACGAAAGCACATGCAATTTTTCATCACTCTACTGCTTTAATGTGCTGACTTTAGTTCCACGATAAACACAAGGTGACTTGATGAAATCTACTGTCCGAAACATGACAGCTTCCCCCAGCAATTCATCCTACTTGTATATCTTAAATGCAGCAATCAGAAATCAGCATTTAAATGAATAATGATGGAAATAATGATTGAGTATAAGTACACATATGGATCACACAACTACTCTCACTGTGTGAAAGCATGAGACTAATATTAAAGAATTCTCAAATGCCAGTGCAAATGCAGGAAATAGACAGTGCTGTCTTTGCTATAGTTATCAATACCCACCACACAGAAAAGGCAGTGCTAAAATGCAACCACTAGGAGTGAAATGTAAAATTCTTATTTGCCTGCCCTGAAAATAATCTATGAAATCTTAAAGAGAGCCTTTAAAATAGTGCACTAAAATCAATCAGCTTAGTAATTTTACTCCCATTGTCTTCTCTGAAGTACTATACATATCAGTTACTATATAGCTAAAGTGCACTATCTTCCCTACAAACCTGAAAAGAAATCAATAAAACATAATAGCAAAACAGAGGAAAAAAAAATACATCCAGAAACTGCTTCTGAGTATGCCTAAATAACCCACCTGGTGAACAATTTGCCATATCATACAGGTAGTATCTCTGGAGCCTGAAATTAAATGAATTCCACAGTGGTCTATTGCCAAGCAGGTCACAATATCTAGATAAAGAAAAGAAGACAAAGTTGTCACATAGGTAATTAAGACTAATTTCCCTCAGCCTGACAATGTGGATACAATTTGTCACACTGTATCCTGATTTGCAGTCAGCATGAAATACTCTACTGTGATAAGGGCTGGTGACACTATTAAACAATGAAATCATCATACAGCCAAATGTACCCACTTTACACATTCAGCTTTGCTACCTAAAAATAGCAGGCAAGCCTTATTTTGAAACTACATTAAAGCACCAGTCCAATGACTGAAAAGCCATGCTCAAGTATTTATGTATAATCACAATTCAAGCATCCCTCTGTTCTTATGCTGCCATTCCTTTACAGCTGCTACACTTGGGTGCCCAGGGGATGTGGATATATTCTGGGACCACCAGATAACACACATAACCCTTTCCATTTCCCAACACAGAGTGACTGACCCATGTGCCTGATGTGCTGTCCCATCAGTTTGCCTTTGGTAAGGGATGTCACTCGGATGCTGTTGTCCCAGTGTCCGCCACTGAAGAGCAGCTTTGCGTCATGGGACACTGCAAACAGCTTGGAGGTGATCTCCAGCCCTGGGGCAAAAGGACCACTCATGCTGCGCTGTGTTCTGCAGGCAAACGATGAGCAGTTAACAGTAACCTCGGTTCACATCCATGTATTTTGCACTTCCTCTGTCTTTAAACATCACTAATGAATTCCATCTATAGAAGAAGCTACATCCATGGCAAAACTCGCACTGCCACCAGTGACTGGAAGCAAGATTTCATCTTAGCTTTTTTTCAGCCTTTTACACGATTGGATAACTCATGTCCCTACTAAGCACTGTAACATTAAAGACAAAAAAGGAATTTTCTAAAACCAAAAAATCCAAATATGCCATATATGCCTATGTATTACTACAGCATAAGAATGTATGAAGACTATCTCAGATTACACAATGAGTTTTTGTGATTGATAATTAGAAAAAATTAGGAGTAGCTCTAAGAATGAAGCCTGAAATACCACTTACATAACTGTACTAGAATGCTATTATAGATTAGAGGTAATAATACTGAACACCAGAAGATGCATTCTTTGGTGAAAACCCAGACAGTGAAAACAGTATTTTCACTGATTTTCAACAATTATTGTATTTCATTATTTTAAATGCTTTCATCTGTACCCCCCCTCAAAATTTGCTTACTTGGGATTTGTCACTGTTGTATCTTTGATGAATGTAAAATAGTTGGAAATATTTTTGTCATAAGGCAGCCAGCCATGAGTTCCAATAACACAGTTCAGACTTGTTGTTACCTAAAAAAGTTTAATGAAAAAGTTGATGAAACCCAGAGGTTTGCTTTCTGCTTGTCTCAATGCTAGTAGAGCTTGCATAAAGTCCAGCAGAGGCTTCTTGAAAACCTACCACAAAGGAAAAAGCACATACACCTCTCCCTGAACAAATAAATCAATTTAAAAAATCCCACTCAGATGAGTTAATCCATATGTGGTACACAGAACCATATTAGAATAGTACATGTTCTACATAGGTCAGAGAAGTTGGGGTAGGAAGGATAGGAGGAGACAAACACTAAAAATCCCAGTCAACCAACCCCTCTCAAATATTTAATTACAAATCAGTCATTTAGTTTAAGCTGCTGCTTCTTCTCTAAATACTAACTGTTAATAGTAAACATATTAACACAAGAAGTTTAACAAACATTGTACTACAGTTTCATTTCTGAGGAAGTAACAAAGGAATCTAAATATTCAAGGGTACTTTGATTAGATAGTTATGAAAAACACAAGGAGAATTTTAGATGTGCTCCAATAACCTATGAATGTACCACAATTAAGTGAACACAGTAACTTTGACATACAAAATAGGAATATTGGAATGTTCTTTCCTGCAAAACAGAGGTATTATTGCACTGGGGCCAGTGTTAGGCCATATATACAGATGCAGATACAAAACCACTGCTCTCCTTTCATTAGCTGGTATCTGCCATAGTACAAGAATGTGTGTTAGTGCAAGAGTTAGTTCTAGAAACAGTGCAGGCCTTTGGAAGGTGCATGCACCAGATATGGTATAGTTTAACATACAGGTTGGAAAGCAATGACAAACAATGACACCATTAATAACTCAATGCTGTAATTTTAAATCTGGGCTGCACTGCATTAGCAAATTGGTTGTTGCAGGGAAGCTGATCAAGTGTCAACTTACAATATGCCTCACTATAATTTACAGTCATATCTCATCAGCTCTTAAATGCCATTCAACAAATCAGCCTGGCTTCTCCTTGGAAGATAAATATTTAACTCAACTGACAGTTGCTTCAGGTTAAAGGAACACATTTGAAGAGGAACAGTTAAGAAATATTTCTCTACAAGCTGCATAAAAAAATACAGCCATTTGACTATCTACAGTTTAAGAACAGTATTGACACATGCAACTCACCAAGATCTCCGGGCTTCCCTGAGAAATAAAGGAGCGTGATTGATTCCTGGGGACAACAGCTTTGACAATGGGAACACCATCACTAATTCCCTAAGAGAAAGGACATGGGTTTGATCTGATTATATCCAAAAGCTAAAGGATAAATCTAGAACCTGTAAAGAGTAAGATGCAAAGCTCTGGAATCAGTGTCAGACCTGTAGAGCACCCTAAGGCATTGGCACACACCCATTCAGTTTGTGCAGGTAACCTTCATCACAAACACTGCAAATGAAACCCTGACCCCAATCAGAGAGTTTAACTACCAAGTTCAGTGATTCCTCACACACCACCAGTGAGGCTTGCAGCTTTCTTGGTGTGGTGACTAGTTTAATACTCAACACCCACACAAGCAGCCAGCAGATTATGGGATTCAACCTCTAGGAAGCCAACTAAAAAGACAGAGCTCATTTAATACACATTGCATTGTAAAATATTCTAAATAGGAAGCAAGTTTATTTTCATCCAGGTTGTGACCTTTTGTTTCAAGTACATCAAATTTCAGGTTAGACTTCAAACAATTTCAAGTAACACATCTACCTCTATGAAGAATGACTTCAGCTCAGTGAGGTGTTGGAAGAGATTCAGAGTAGAGGTATCGCTTTTAGTTAGTCTTTGTACTACCTCTTCTGCTGACAGCCTTTGTGGATGGGGCTCCTAGGAGGCAATATTTGAAGGAGTAACAAATTAGACTAGTTTATCAATTTGTTCAATGCACATGAGTACTCAGACTCTTAATGGGAAAACAGTCTTAAATACCTAATATCCCTTTTTGAAGTAAATTTATTAACTTTGAAAATGGATTCTTTGGTAATGTGACAAAGATTTAATGTTGCTAAAATTACAAATCATTACCTTAAAAACCATTGTTTTTTTCAAAAAGTCCCTGTAACTCAGTTGTATTTAACCACAAAGGTCTGGTTGAGAGGGAGCAAAAGAGCAGTACCTTTAACAGCTGACAGGGTGTTTGCCCAAAATTGTTTATCATCCCTTCTAAAGCCTTCCTTTCTTTCTCATCTGTTAAAGCATCCAAATCCACAGCCCCTGGATCACAATCAGAATGATGAAGAATAGGAAAAAAAAAGAGAACACAATCCAAACAACTTATTAAGAACCAATATGGTCAACTTAATTTACTTGCAGCATTATGACCCTTTACCCCCAGAAAAGCCCCAGACAATGCCTCCATTTAAAACACAATCTGAAAACTCCACTCTGCATGTGGAATTTTAAGTGTATCTGTCAAGGCAAGAAGTGCAGGCCTTTGTCTTATCAAATGAATTTAATTTACCTCATTGCAAGCAACAAGTATCACACAAAAACCACCCAAAATTTAGCTTTGAAATTAACAGATTAAATTTATCTCTAATATTAATTGCTTTCAGTCGATGTGCCTGAACTCTAAACCACAAGAAACCTCCTCCCACATATGCATTTAAGCAAGTAAATAAGTGGCAAGAAAACCCAGTAACTTTTAGGAAAAAAAAAAGACAAAAAATCGTAACAGCCCTCCTTTTAAAAAAACTATACTTTTTTTTTGATGACACATTACAAGGTTTGCTGCCATATTTCATCTATAAATCTGCTTTCTTACCATATGCTACTGAATGGTACACTCACAAATCAAGTGTCTACTGTCTAATAATGAAAACTCACAAGCCTGATGACAATGACAAGAGAACATGCTTTGTACCTTCATAAGTACAATAATAGAACACATTAAGCGCCTCCACTGCAGCTGGTCCCCTCTGCTTGTAGCCAAAAATCAAATCTATCCATTCATGAAGATGAGCAGAAACATACTCAGATTCCTAGAAGGAAAAAAGTGCTCTTAGAAGAATAAGAGAATACTGCTCCCTCTTGAAGTTTTTACTATTCTCTATGGAAAAGATTCAATTCCTAAATTAAGAGTATCCACAAATTAGGTATTTAGCAACATATAGGGCAGAGGCATAAGAATCTTGTGTGCTATGGGCAGTAACTGCCAGGTAAGAGGGAAAATCAATACAATGACACAAAAGGTATGCACTTTTGAAATGCAGCTGTGCAAGGGAAGGTAACCTGCCAGCTCCCTAACACCAGACAGAGTCATCTTTAAATAGCAAAGGAAGCCTACCCACCTGCCTCTGCATTTTCTCTCCTAGGACAGCAAATGCCCAAATCATTAGTGCCCAAAATGCCCAAGAGATTAAATGCTCTTTTCAGCATTTTATCAACGTGCACAGAGCTTTTAACTGGAAGTTCTAATGGCACTTGTAATGTCAAATGCAACGCCAACTCTAGTGTCAATGCCATCCCACTAGTTTTACATTTAAGCCACAGTAACAATCTGCAGGTGCACTTCCTTTATGATTACACACACAAACCACATCTTACCAGAGCCTTCCTGTGTTTATAAATGAAGTCTTCTGGGGAGTGGGCCCACTTAGGCAGAACAACATCATTTACCACCTCTTTGGACATTTGAAGCTGGCCTAAGTTAAAACCTGGTGAATAATTCAGAAAAGTTTTAGAGTTGCTACAAAATATTTCAAGTACCTTGATTTCTCAATAAAAATTAAAAATCATTATTTTCTCAATGCAAGAGAAGGATATTGAAAAGTTATTAATATAAATCCCTAATAACTCTACACTAACATAGGAGGCGAAGTTCTGTTCTGCATGTTTACGATTTTAAATGATAATGGATAACAATTATCCAAAACATTGAAATTATTTTGAAGCTGAAGTCCCAGCCATAGAAGTAGTATCAGTCTTTAACACATCCATCTGTAAACATATCTGTATTTGCTTGTTTATAAACATAATTGCATATTGCAATTTTCCAGGATTAAGAGTCCAAAACATTTCAGTAAGTTTATTCATAAGAAGGGAGTTACTTAGAAGTTTAAATGGTTATAAAATCAAGGCTTTTAAGAAGTCTGAAATCTCACCAGCTGTCATTGAAACAACTCCAAACACTTAAATGACTTGAAAGTGGGACTTGGGAGTTCTCAATTTTTCTAATTTAGAACTCTAGTAGATTGTACCAGCACAAAGATACAAATACATTTTCAAATTGTGCAAAGATAGAGAAACAAATCACTAAACAATAAATGTGAATTTAAAAAGGAGTCTCATGTCAGAATGCAGGATACTGTATTTTTAATCAGCATTATAGTTAATTATAATTAATCTCTTTTAACTTTTGCTATGTATTTAATCAGTATTAACTATTACTAACTTTTTCAAACATCCCAGTGAGCATCTCTGATCTCTCCATTGGGTAAACAACAATATTTTTAGCCATCCTTAAGCCCATAGCCTGAATTTTAAACTATGTTTAGGCTGCTGCTTAACACAACTGGCATCTTCACTGGGAAAAACTTCTAAGTTTAAAGCCAGCATCATGATTAATGTCTACAATCACACAATAAGGTTTAAATAGTAAGTATTCCTCAGCATTCACAAATGGCTGTAACAATTCTTTTCTGAAGAATACAGAAACCGTTTTCTGTGAAAATATTCTTGGCAGTCGGTTTACCATTTTGATTCTCCAGGAACTCTGGGAAGTAGAAGAACTCTGGGATAAGTTCCTTGACATCATTGGGGGTGTCCATGAGTGCCTGCCAGGTAGCAGGAATAGAGTGGAACTGTCTGTCAGCACAGTCAAATCTGTGGATCAGAAAATCCAGGTTAGACTTAGACAATTCCCTCAGTAAAACGATGAGGAAGAAGCAGGAGGGGGCTGCTTATTTGCCCAGCATACCTGCCACTCTGAAGCTGGATATGGAGTGTTGTGAAAGGCTCCACCCGAATGAGGTAATGCATCACACCAGCAGCATTTGAGTAGTGTGTCCCATAGTGAAACTTGTCAATCATCCCAAGAGGATCCTCAAAATTCTCATATCTGACAAAAGAAATCTTTATAAATACAACTAAGCATTATGGTTGATTTACATGGGGATTATGCTTATTCAAGGCAAAGATTCGAAAGAAATTACCACAGCAGTCTATGAGAGGAAAAATACATTGAGTGCCATCAAACATGAAGATTCCAAATCTTACTTAGCAAGTCCCTAAGAAAAGACTGCTGAAAGATAAAAATGTACACCTGATGAAGCCTTTGCATGCCTGTTATACTCTTCCCTAGGCATTTGCTATCAGCTGTCAGAAACCAGACAAAGGGTAGACAAGACTGATGACTTTATACAACAAACCAACACACCCCCCACCACTAAAATGAATATTTACTTGTGAATAGACTTGTGATGGCTTCCTGCAAGATTTAGGAAATGTGTTCGACTGTGCAGGATGCAGGAGAGAGATCTTTTTCACACTCATGCCCATTTCCTGTTCTACTGGCAAACTCACTCTACCATGCCACCATCTGGCTGATACCTTCCTCAGCCTCACAAGGCTGGTAAGAGAAATTCTAGTTGAACATACTTCTAGAGAACCCACTTCATTACAATGAGGATAGAACCTAGTCATCCAAAGGAAATTCTCCATGTTCCAAGTTTTCAGAAGATTTTGGAAGACACCTGGCTGCAGTTTGGTATGACAGCACACTCACTCTCCAGACTAGCAAACAAGGGGAAAATCACTACACTGCTGTGTGGGTGTAAGTACCTGTCACTGGCACCTAGAGAGGACTTGCTGAAAGTCACTTGAGACCTATTTTATTTTGAAGATAATAATCTATGCTTGAAAAAAAGAGGAAGCACAGATTTAGGCTCAATGCTACCTCTTAGGCAGCTCAACTCAGCAGTATGATTTCACATTCCCTATCTTGTAGCAGATATGGGACACATTATGTCTTTTCAAGCCATTAAATTGTTTCTGCAATCTTTCAGTTTTTCATCTCCACAGCTGAGAAACAACTGAAAATTTACAACAGTAAGTTTTGTCCTTTCACTGCCATATAACTGAGTGCTATATAATATAGTCTGAATGCAGCAGCAACAACAAACCAAACATATTTGCAAGTGCATCTGTTATGTCATAAAACCAGCTTCAAAAATTTCACTGTCACAATTTTATTTTTTAAATGTGCTATTAGCCTGGAGGCTCAGAAAAGACAAAGAAATATAACCAAGTGTTCAAATACGTACTTCTCTTTCACAGTCTTAGCATTCTTCTCATTAACCACACCTATAGGTTTGGACAGGTCCCTAAATACTGCAGGATTATTTAGGTCCAGTTCTTCTGAGGTGTAATCTCGTAAAATCCAGGGAAACTAAAAAAAAGTAAGTCAGACATCAGATAGAGATTAAAAATACATCTTTAAAACTAGAAGAAACACATATCTTTGGCAAAAACTTAAAAATTCACTTTTTATTTACCACAGGATATTGAGCAAGGTCATTGTAAGTTCGTCCTGCCATAGTGTTTAGCTGAATAAGGTAGTCAAAGTTGGATATTTCTCTATTCACCCATTTCTGAAAGACAAAGAAAGATTAAATGGAATTCACTATATCAAAGATATATCTATTGCAAATTACACATCTTGTCAATATCTATATGCCAGAGGATAGCACTGCCAAGTGAAAAGTGCAAGACCACAAAAATTGTATGCAAGTCCAGATTCAATTTCTCATAATGAAGTTTATTTTCCCTTTGATTCAGTGCTTGTGCTATCTATATTTCATTGAAATCAGGTCCTGATTGGTGACAGTACTGTTTCAAATACAGAGCAGCAGATAATTAGCAACCTTGCTAAAAAGGAAAAGAAAATGAAGAAGTAAGAAAAACAAAAAGAAGTATGCAGATACTGATAAAAAGGAGAAAAGAATTTTGAAATCCATCTAAGTGCTAAGATCAAGATTTATTTCTAAATTATTCTCCCACTGGTAAACAATCTGTATACCAAATTGTCCGTGCACCTTTCTTTGCTCCATTATTATATTCTAAACCAAAGAACAGACAAACCTGCGTTCAGAAGGGCTCAGTATTTGTCTGTAGAGTGATGGAGACATGTCATGAAAGATGACATTTTCTCTGTGTAAATACACAACTCAATAGTTTTTATTGTCAGGAAAACGAAGAGCAATCAAAGTATTTCCAATATCTTAAACTTATTTGTAATGCCTCCTCCCTCAGAGAAAGCAATTTTGGCATAAAGAGATGGAAGATAAAAATACACTTACTATATTTACATTTACTATATTTAAAAATTTATCTGTGTTTATGGTTATATGGACATTAGACATTTTCCTTTTTTACCAATATTACTAATTCCCACTTAATCTTCATGTGAGTTTTGTTGAAAGCTCCATCATGAAAAGATAGCAGGGAAAATTATTTGCACATCCGGTGAAAGAAGTTTCAAAACAGCACTCAAGATCATAGACTAAAACCAGAAGCTAATCTGCCATGTTTTATGCTCATGCTAAAATGCCTGTCAATCACATCACCAGAGCTGGCTATACCCATTTACCTGACTGTAAACACAAACCAAACCATCCTAAAATGATGCACATGGAAGTTCAGGGGCCAGGCTGAGGGAAGAAATTGGCAGCTGCCATATAAACACTAGGGGAGTCCTTCAAAAAGCAAAGGAATTCTTTAGACCACTGAGCTGAGGTCTCATACCTGCATCAAACCTGATGCTTTGAAAAGCTCCTGTGGCGATCTGGTCCCAGAAATGTTTGGAGAGCGCAGCGACAGTATCCGACTATATACTTTGTTTCGTACCTGTTAGAAACAGCACTAATAAAACAATATTCTGGAGATTGAAGCTGATAATTAAGCAATTTGTCTCCTAATTAAAATATGAAATAATTAGGACACAGTTACACTTTCAAGTACTTTGATCTCTTGCTGTTTAAAACATTTGGACATGGATGGATGTGACATCCTTCACATCAAAACCAAACCACGCAACATTTTCTAAGGGATGACCTACTAGTACACTGACCTACTAGTATGTAACTCACCCTAAATTCTGAAATTTATCATAGTCTCTCATAAAAAGGATCACTGAAATTACCCAGAGAGGGAAAAAGTTCACTACACTTTGACCATCAAATATCAATGATTTCTATTGTTGTTGTTAAAAATAAAGTCCCCTTTGATTTGCAATTAATTTGGTCTATCTTTAAAAAGATGGGCTTCAAAACATTTAGATTACTACTGATGTGATTTTAGTTAAATGGTAATTCTGTATTACAGAGAGAGAGAAAGGAAAAAGGAGAATCTTGTTTTAGCTATCTTTTCACAATTAATCAGTTTCTAGGTGCCAGACTGCAGTGTAGTTTTCCATGATGACTATGTAAAACAAACAGTTTGCTATTAGTGTTACGGTATTAAGAAAGGCACCAGACTCAAATTCAATCACTGATCTTAAACCTAACCTTGAGCTTCTTACATGAATCCATGACATTTAGGAAACCCATACCTCCTTATTGAAGTTGAGGAAGTAGTTGGTTTGATCCGTAAGGAAGATCTCCAAAGCCGACCTCCTCAGGTTGTACCGACGCAAATGGATTTCTCGAATTTGAGAAAGGTGCCATTTGAAATCAAAACCTACCCCTGGGAGGAACACTCTGTTTACTGATTTGGAATATACACAAAAAAACCCTTTTCATACAGACATAGTGCAGTACCAGCTTCAATCACCTCAGAGTTATTCCCAGAAAAGGAAAGTCTTATAGCTGATGTGATTAACCATTTTGCTAGGAAAATATTAACTTCAGATATTGTTGTCCTGAAAGAAATGAAGCAAGAAATACCTGATGGAATGTAGAATACATTTGCTTTCTGATTAAAGACATATTACAAATGTATTCTGTTGACAAAAAGTATGAACCAACCCCTTCGCTTTCTTAAACAGACTCCAAGGCTGAACGCTTCGGTATACTGATTTGGAAAATTTTACTATTATTTGTCCAGCATTTCACTTCCATGTTTCCATAGCCAGCTGTGTATATTCTATTAAAGTTCCCTAAATTAATATGGATGATGAATGCTTACATACTACTGCTGTTTAATCAATACATGAGTACAACATTATTTGTTGTAGAAAGAGAACAGAGAGGTGCCATTTACAAAGCAAATTAGAGGTAGTAACTTTTTTTTAGTCAGCAGGATTTTAGTAAGTTATTTTTCAGAAATATTAAGAATAGTTAATCAATTTACCAGCTCAGAAATTACAGTTCCAGATTCTTGATTCTGAAGGGATCAGTCAGCCACTAACCATCAAAAGCAATATTAATTTTAAGTACAGACCAACAACTTGTCTCTTTCCAATTACTTTGACACTCGTTTTCAAAACAAACTCAGCCTACGAAAAGCAGAATGCTGAACTACACTGAAAATAAAGAGATATTGATCATGCTTACCTTCCTCTTTCTCAATGCTACCATCAAAGAAATAGATGTGCTGGGTAGTGACCTCCAGCCTGCCCGGTATCACATCAATTACTGTAATGAGTTCACAGTCTTCAGACAATATTAGCTTTTCTTTCTGACTTTCCTCATCCTTCTCATCCCTGCAAAAACACCACCAAGTGTTACAGGGTTGGGTAGATTATACTGTTGCTTAGACCCTTGGTAAGAGCACAGTTAGAAAAGAATCAAATTTAAATGGCATTAAAACTGCAGCATAAACAATTCTATAAAGCTGCTTTCATCAGCAGTCATGGGTGTTTCAGACTAGACCACAAACAGCATCACTCTTCAGTCTTCATATTTTGGTCTCAGGCACAGTGGACTTGACTTCATGTGAAGTACAAAAATATCAGGCTGTATTTCCCTACTTTATTTAATTGTTAGGGGCTTAAGCTCTCTGGTCCAGATGAGAGCTGAGCTCCAGTTCATGTGACTGAAGTTATCTTCAGGGTTATTTTGCTATAATCTACAGCAAGCATTTAATAACCTTTATGTCCAATTACTGAAGCAAAGCAAAGCATTTGCTATCCTCCCTCAACTCCCCTTTCCCTGCTCTCTCTCTCCTGGCCTTTTTTTTTTTTAGTTGCAGTCACACAAGTGCCATGAAGGAAGCACAGCCTTCCCTCTGGAATGCTCTTAAACACAAGGCACTCTCCAGCACTTAAATGCTAACCACACAAATTTTCATGCTATGCAGCTGACAATGGAGTGAATGACATGGCAACTATGGACAAGAGGCAGTTCCAGTCTGGTCCATGTCCTCACACAGCAGATTGCCTCCTGAGAATTACAGTCAATATACACAGTAGAAAAGCATTAACAATTCTGTAGCTTCAGCCCACCTGTGAGCAGTGAATCACCAATGGATTCTCATAAACATCTGCTCTGCCTCCTTTTCCCTGGGGCTTTTCTTGTCTTAGTGGTAACAAGGATAAATCCAACAGTCCAACAGTAACTTTGCTGATCAAAACTGCCCTGAATTGTTAAGGCCAGACAAAAATAGAGGGAAACTCTGGATGCTATTCAACTCACAAAATTGTTTCTTGCTCCCTATCCCTAGCACAGAAACAAATTATAATTGTTTATCCTGTTCTACTTACAAATTGGAACTGGCTGTTGTGTCTTCTTCTGGTAGTTCCAGAACATCATCTTCCAAGTCACTCACTTTCACCTGCTTCACCACCTCCAGAAGCAGAGACTCACTAGAGGGCTGTGTCTGGTGCACACCTAGCATAAATAGACATAACAGCTCATAACTTTTTCTGCTACAATGCTTTTGGAAATCTAGCCTACTAAACCTGTCTTCTACAGTTGAATTTTGGTTTTAATCAAGTAAGAAGCAAGCAGGTTTCTTATATATTTTTGTGGTTAAGCAGAACACTACAAACAGTCCTTGAGCTACACTGAAAATTATGACAACAAAAATTTAACTTGAATTCTGATATGGACACTTACAATAAAATATTTAGCAATGTTTTTCCAGACATTGCTAAAGCATGCAGATTTAGTAGAAATGCATTGCATTTGTTTTTTGGTTATGTGGGTTTACAAGAGTGTTTTGTGGGGGTTTTTTTGCTTGAGCCTTGATATCCAATACACCAAACTTCACAGTTACACCTAACTCAGCTGTTTGGCACATTTCTGAAACAAAGCACTTCCTATCTACACATTTTAGCCACAAATTCTAAAAGGCTTTCAACAAATACTGCTTACTGTGGTCTTTATTTCTTCAAGAAAGAAGCAAAATCTCATACAAGAAAGCTGTATGACTTCTTATTTTAAAACAGAGGAGTTGACTTTTATTTATTGCTCAACAAAACCCCACATTTCAACGAACCAGGGCAAAAGAATTCTACTTAGTAGGAAAATGTTGTTTAAGGTCAAAGAACCGCTATTATAATATAGATTTTAGTATGATGAAATTAAAAAAAAAAAAATCAATATTTAAGTATATAAGCATATACTGCTTATTAAACACAAAGAGGAAAGTGGGTATCTTTCTTTGGTAAGAACTCAAGTGAGATAGCAAATACCACTTTATACCTAAATTATCTCTCAGGTCACTAGCATCCTGATGAGAGTTGAAGTTGTAATTCTGCACTAGTTTTAGTCTCATACGTGAAAAATTTTCCACATTTGAAAGTTTCCAGTGAACAGGACGCTGTTTCCTAGGAAAACAAGAATATTCATAAAAACAATCTGAATAAAGACCTACAGGAAAGAACTGATTACAAAAGAGTACATATTTAGAAAAATACTGGTCATCCAGTAGTACATTGTAAAAAATAAAAGATTAAAATGCAGCTATTGCTTTTGTTTCATATTGCAGCTCTGACCATCATTCTTTATTTTGTAAACAGTATTTATTTTCACAGAATTAGCAAGGTTGGAAGAGATGCTCAAGAGCATCAAACTACCATCACCACAATCACCCCAAAATTACTTTCTAATAAGAACATTCCCTGGCATGACTTGAGGCATTTCCCCTTGTCCTGTCACTCAAGACTGTACACCTCAAGCATGGTTACTGCAGTCAGTCTGACCTGGTTTTAACCACATGAAACAGTGAGCAAACCCCTTTTAAGAATCACACGCAGTCTAGGAAGTCCAGTCTCACCTTTCAGCCCAAGGCCCACGCTCAGAGAACAAGTACAGCTGGGCTGCTCTCCACTGCCTCAGCGTGGCTGTGTGCTGGCTGCTCAGCTGTTTGAGCATGCTGTTGTATCGCAGGTTCTCCTGCCGAGCCTTCCTGCTGAACGGCTCCACAAAGTGCTCCTGAAACACCAGTGCAAATAGATCCAGCACTGAGTTTACTCTGACCTTGGAAAACAGCTTCCCAAGAATTCTCAGAAAACAAGAAGAAACGGAAAAGGCTTAGCGATAAAACATTCTGAAATTTTAAGGTAATACTTAGGAGAGAAATTTTAAAAAGCTTAGACCTAGAAGAAATAGTGCCAGACTTTGATTTAAAGATGTGAAGAAAGTATAATCAATGCTGAATCCAGACTAAAGCAATTTTCATCATCAGAAAAGCAGTCAGTATTAGAAACTCTATTACAATAGGTAGGATTTTTCTTAAATTCTGTATTCTTGAATGCGACTCTAATGGTATTTTTCCTTTGGCTATTTGAATAAAATAGACCTACAAGTTTTGTTCTTAAAAAAGCAAAGAGACATGTAACTTCACTATGGTATTGCCTGAAATTACAAGTTAGCTCTAATGCTAAAACTCAATCTGGACCTTATATAGAAAGGTCCGTTTAGAAGCAATTTTTCCACACATTAAGTAAGAAATGTTCACTGCTGTAAATGCTTTAATTGTATTAAAATATAGTTTAAAAAAATCCCAAAGAAACAGCTCATAATGGAAATCAGGTTTTAATAATTCAAAACACAAATCAAAGAGGATGCAGCTTATGGATGAGGATATTTCTACCTTGCTGATGAAAAGGAAGACCTACTGTACTGAAATCTCTTTGATTGCATGTAGGACTGTTAATAGAGCAGAATTAGTAAGTATATCCTAGAAGTGCATATAGTTCCACTGCCCATAAAATCTTAATTTAATTAACCTGTTTACAGTTACTTGAACTGGATCATCCTGAAATGAATTTTCTCCATCTTTTAGAAGGCAGCCCTCAAGAGAGTTCTTTTAAGAGAACCTCACACTCACTGAAAACCTTACCTGAAATTTAAGCTTACTTTCTCCTCTTTCCCGGTCTCGCTTGTGCATGTTCACCATAAATGCTTCATAACAATCTTTCCAATAAAGTGCCATTTGCTCATTATCATGACGGAATGAATTCTCTTCATATTGCTTCATATTTGGAATAATCTGGTTCCATCAAAACAAAATAAAAAGTACCATGTAATTTCTGAATGGGTTCCTCTGCTTTCATGGCTGAAAAGAGGGAGAAAATGATACAAAAAAGAATTTACTACTTACATATTTGTCAATATAAACTTGCCACTCATCAGATCTGCAGTATTCTTGAAAGTCCTCAAAGAAAGATGGGCTGCCATTGGTAGGAGGCAGTGAAGGAAGGTGCAGGTTCATAAAGAGAAGTTCATAAACCTTGGATACCAATGTCCGAACAAGGGGAATCAAAAATGAGTAAGTTTCTGTCTTCTCTTCAATTGACCTACTCAAAATGCCTTCCAACTTCCCCAGGAGGTAGCATGCTTCAGGCTGGCTCTCAATTACTTTGGTCTGAAGGAGGGTGTTTAGTTTGGCTGCTGCCATAGCACAGACCTACAAAAACAGACAGCAAAAAATGAGTGTGATCTTCCTTGAGCACCCATCTTTTTCCTGCCACTCCTGCCTGCATATTCCCATCCTCAAACAGAAGCCCTCTACCTCCTTCTTGTGTTCCACAGGTGCACACTGGCAGGACTGTAGAGTAAACCTGCAAAAGCGAAGAGCCAATAAAACATCTTCCCAATAGGATGAGGGACTGCCACAGGTCTGCTCACTGGTGTGAGCAGCTCTCCCAAAAACCACAACAACAGTTACATCAAATGTGCCCTTAAAACTCAAGTACCACTTGCAAGAATTTGCAACAAACCTGTAAGTTGTCTTGTGCAATAAATCCAAGGAGGAGCTGGACTTGCACCTGTGAAAGCCTAATTGCTTCTAGGCCAGCAGAGTACCAGACTGACAGACTATCCATGAGAGTCACTAGTTCTTCCAAGAGCTATTACAGAAACAGAAAATAAGCATAACATTAAAATAAATAAAATAAACTGGAATAAAAGTAACAATAACTACTCTAGCTGGAGACACAATAATTTCAAAGAGCTGAAGAAGAGGCTGTGTTCACATTTGTAACTTAACCAAACCCAGAAAATCATCTGAGAACACTGCAGTTAAACCAGTAATTTAAAGAAATTCCTGACAACAAAAATCTACCCAGCCCAGTACATTAAGTCAAGTATCTCCCCTAAATAAAGTGTGCATATATATATCTATATATGTGTATGTACAGTAAGAGAGAGAGTATATATATGCTTACTGCTTTTCCTACAAGTTAACTCCAGTAAATGCCATATCCTTAGAAAATTTAAAAGACTCCACTTTAGGAGGCACTTCTTTCTGTCAGTATTTAGATAGCAAAAGTGACACAAGCCTTGTGAAAGGTGGGTATTCCCAAGGCAAATGGCACATTTTGCTATCCAGATGTGTTTGTTTAAAACTAATACACCTTGACATACTCTCTAACACAGCATTGGAGTTACTGTGTTAATGACTCTTGACATTATACTTTTTTCTTAAAGCAAGTAGTCTTACAAAGTATTTTTAAGGATTTCTAGAGAAATAATGATGGCTTCCAAATAAGATCTCTCTTTTTTTGCTTAGAAAAACTGAAAAGCAATGCCAACTCAGACTGTGAAGGAAGCATGACCAGTGCCAGAGATTACATAAATGTTGAGATAAACTGTACCTGTTGAAACTCTAATATAGGTCAAAACCCAGAAGTGACATTTCCCAACTTGCAACCAAGGGCAGAGTTTTGGCTGGTCTTTCATTCAGGATGCTCAGAGAGTCATAAATGCTGATGAACAGTGCAAAATCTGCTTAGGCTACAACTGCTGCTGTTCCATTAGCTTTTACATTTTCTAAATATTTCTCCAGTCTGAAGAAACCTGGATTCTCAGTAAAGAGTACTACTTACATGCCTACTTCATTTGCAAAATTTACTATATTCCCTGTGGTAAATATTCACATTTTTTATTCATGAAAGGGCACTCTAATCCATTCTACTATAAATCCTTACTCTGTAATATCTGTGGTTTAATATGACTAGAAGGGCGACAGTTTCCAAACCAACAACTTTCTTGTTACCATTTCAGCCCATATACAGTACTTCCATTATGCAGTTACTGTACCTTTTCTGTCCATAAATTTGAATTAATTAGTCCTTCTGCCTGCAGGAAACCTTGTACAATTAGCAAGAGCTTGAAGGCATTTTCAGCATGTGTAGGGAGAGCTTTTGAATCTCTGTTATCAGTGACTGACCATTCCAACATCTTCTCCAGCAAGCTGCATGGAAAACGAAATCCCAAAGTAAGTATTACATGTTCCGAGTGTAAGTGGCTTTTAAAAAATCCAATTAAGCATTTAATTGAATCTCTTAGTCTGCAGTTACATAACTGCCATCTTCTTGATAAGCCAATGAGATAAAAGCGATTGAGAGACTCATGAAAACAGTGATAGTTTTAAAACCTTCTGGCCTCAAGACACACCTCCTAAACAGGTACAGGAATATATTTCTGACAGTATGTGAAGAGACAGTAGAGAAAAGTACATATTGTTGGAAACCACCCACCCCTTCCCAGCTTCACTCATGTCCCTCATTTCTGTTTATCCACAAAAGGGATGAACTGCACACTCACTTGAGTTTTATTTCATCAGAAGGCCGCAGCAACTCATTAGACATCCCCAGTTTGGTGAGAGCAGAGAACACCTGTCCTCTCTCAATCCAAGCATCATCATCAGATTTTTCAATACCTTTCCACATTATACACAGTAGGATGTCTGTGAGTAACTGTATGAGTTCATTCTCACTCCCCTACAAAAGAAGTGAAATATTTAAAGCCCTTCTAGTATAGAAAACCTTCAAAACATTTCTTATTCATCACAGCCCTTATGCTTTCATGTTTCAACATTTGAAACTCTGCAGTCTTCCAGTGGACTCTAAAGTCCAATTGAAAAGCTCAGGAAAACACAAATATAAGAGACTGTAGCTTGTTTGTATGATGTAAAACAAACTGCCTTTTAGCCAGCCTTGATATTTTCACAGCAAGTCTGCTCCATACCTCCTCTGGATGATAAAGGATATTTAAATATAGAGGGAGAAGAGTTGGCAGGGATTTTTTGTGGTTTCTTATGGTTGGGAGGTTGGCCTTATTTATTTGCTTTTTTGTTCTTTTTTTTAAACACCAAAGCTACCCCAAGTGGACAATCAAAAAAGAAGACACATTACAAAAGGAAGTACCCCTATCCCCTATAAAAGAGCCATTTTGTTCACTTTCCTGTTGGATGATAGGAGAGACAAATAAAACTAATAATGATTCATTAGGGAGATTGAAAGAACAAAATGAAATTTCCAACAGTTGGAGAAACCAGTCCCATAGTTACTTACTCCTTGGTTTTCAAAGAGAGAAAGCTCAGCAGCCAAGCCCACATCATTTGTAACACCCAGCTCTTTGTCAGGCTGCCCAGAGAAGGGCTTTGTGCTCTCTGTGGGTGAGGGAGTGCTGGGCTGGCTGTCTGTCATCTGATTCCCAACATCAGCCAGTTCGTAAGAGTCAACACTGGACAAATCCAAACTCAGATGTGAAGGATTACTGTGCCAGAGTTCTTCTCGGCCCTCCGAACCGAAAGACATCTCTGCTGTGGATGCATCTTCCAGCGGCTTAACAGAGAAATGGGCAGGGACCTCCAGGGATTTGTTGTCTTCTAAACTCCACTGATCAAAGAGACCATTAACTGATGCAAAGCTGCCAGCTTTATCTCTCTCTGTTTTATCAGCTTGATGTTTCTGTAGCTCTTCAGTAGGAGGCTTTTTATCCTCTTCCCTGGAGGAATCAGTCCTGCTCTCCTTAAAGCCAATCCGGACCTCTGAGTTTTCTTTCAGGAACAGTCTAACCAAAGTGTCCTGCCAGCCCAGCTGCTGAGAAATCTCTTGTGCTGCATCCAATTGGGAATGCAAAAGGTGCAAAATCTAAGGATAGAAGATATCCCATACCTACACATTAATTTTAGCTTGTAACTGCATCCATCTGTCTTTTCAACTAAACATTTTACAATCTTTCAACTTCTTTTCTTACAACCTTATATAAAGAGCCATATTCTGCTAATAATAAGCAAACCAGCCACAAAGTAATTTTTCCTCATAAAAAATATAGTTGAGAAAAAAGAAAACAAAAAGTTAAAAATTCTCAAGAGTAGGGGAGAAAAGAAGCTATAAAACCATATTGGTAAGTTGCCATATTTCAGCAACTCTTCTGCAACAATTCCTCCAAAAGCCAGTTATCTCGATAAATAATCCCATTCCCCTATAGTCTAAAAAAAATCTAAATTGGAAAATATACTTGATTGGGAACTATTAATAAAATTACAGTATTAATAGCTTACTGATAGTATACATTATAGTTTCACTTCTTCATTTTGGGAGATTTTATTTGACTATATGGTGTCTCACAGTTACCATTCAGTACTAATTCCAGTGATACAAGCTTTGAGAAAACTCAGTAATTCAAGGAGCCTACTATCTCAAACTTGCAGAAAATACAAGCTATTTGAGAATCATGATAGAAGTTCCACTTTTTGTTTTGGCTTTTTAAAGTTCTTGAGTACACAAAATTCAACAGTAAGTGACAGATGGGTCTAATTCTTAAAATAAATCACTGCTAAAGAAAACAGTAACAACAAATACCGCTACTGTATTTCAAATAAATAATTTAGTTATCACACTGTACAGTTAATAGGCTTGAAGGACAGTATTCCAGTTCTAAAGAAGACAACTAACCCTTCTGCAGATAATCACTCTCATGTTTATATCTGATCTATGAGCCAGATACACTACAGCTAGGAGATCTTTATAATTGACAGCAGGATCTGTAGGGAAAAAAGAAAAAAAGCCACCATAAGCAATATCATACTAGAGAATGTAACAGATAAATATTTAAAAATTGCCTTGGAAGTTATGACTGCATCCAGGGATAGTAAAAGGAACAAACTTCAGCTAACTAAGAAAATGTTAGCTGAGACTAATGGGAACTTTGAGCAGAACAGCTCTACAAGTAACACCTCTGGTTTTCCTCAACAAAAACCAGAGATGTTGGCCTCTGAGCAGCAGAAGTGTACTAATGTCAGATATAGCACTTGCCAATTACCTGCATACAGGACTTGGTTAAGAAGGTTTTTAATAAGAGAAACAGTAACTGGGGATTCATTCAGAAGGAGTCCCAGCCCAGAGTACCCCACTTCTCTGAGCCTCATCCGGTGCTTGCTCCGCTCATAAACTTTGGTACATTTCAGCATCTCTTCCACAATCTGTAAGGAAAAGTAGACACAAATGCAAATTGAGCACAAAAAAAGCATCCTTATCTCTCAAACTTGTGTATGATATAACATGCTGGTCCACAGTTTTTAGAGTTTATTTGATAAACTAACTCAAACAACATGGATAGTTTTTTTAAAGATCCCAACACTTTATTTTAAGAGAACACTAATTCCTTTGTGACAATGCATCTAGCTAACATTAGAGAAAAGAAAAAAGCAAACTTGGATGATTAGTATCTTTGTAATTACATACACTTCTGCCAGACCAATGAAAAACACAAATTTATGTTCAATTGATTAATTTAGGAACATATCATTCAATTCATTACCTTGAACACAAGTTCTCTAAGCCTGTCAGAGTATCTTTGATGCAGTAACAGAGCATAAAGAATATCAGCATTCCCTGGTTCAAAGAGCAATAAAAAAAGCTGGTCTGGGGTTGGACTGGAATGAAGTAGGCTGAAGAGAACATCCAAAATTCCGCAGAGCTACAAAATTAAGACAACCAAATTAATACCCAGTTCATTTAGATTTCATGCTTTGTTTTAGGAAAATTTTCTTGGCTTTTAAGTTTTACTTTTGCTGGTTAATAGACATTCTGTTGCTCAGTATTAGCGCCTTTAACAAATTTTTAATACATTTTTTCTCTCTATAGAATACCTTATCACATTAAGCATGGACACAAAGCAAGATCAAGTGCTGCTGATGCTATAAAATAGAAACTACATCCCAATTCCTGGTAGGCTGAAAATCAACTCATTTGGTTTTGTAAACTAAGATAATTTTTCTAATGGCACATCCTTATCTTACCTACATCTAAACAGAACCACACATCAGTTAACTTTTGTTCATGGTCATTTTCTTCTTTGTTCACCCTTCTTTTAAGAAAACAAGGCAAGATTTCTAAATGCCAAGATGCAAAACCAAAACATGTCCAGTTCGTGGTCATTTTCTTCTTTGTTCACGCTTCTTTTAAGAAAATAAGGCAAGATTTCTAAATACCAAGATGCAAAACCAAAACATGTCCAGTTTAAACTGTTAATTTATGCCATGTTGCATACCTGCTCCTCATCACTGGTGGCAGCTATATATCCTACAATGCTCTGAATTTCTTCATGTGTTCCACCTTTGCTCAGAAAATATTTGATCAGTCCATACAGGGATGTCCGTATTGTCCTCAGGTCATCAGGAGCCAAATCGCCGTCTTTACAGCCAGTCCTGCTTGCCAACAGACCAGAAAGACAACCTAAGGATGCTCTTCATGGCTCATTAATAGCAATTTGATGGTGCCAGTTTGGTAATTTTTCATTTACCCAGGCATCGTGCACAAGTGTTCCATTTTTACTGAACTCAAGCAACTGAACAGTGATAATTAGATCAGACTTTGCAAGTCTATCCAAGCCCTGAAATGCAGACTTGTACTGATCTGGATGTAGGTCAGGATTGCAGGTTCCCACCTCCCACAGGAAACAGCAGTCTCTAGCCAATCTTCCTCAAACACATAATTATATTCATAAGCAGATATAAATCATCAGCACTGAAAGGTTAAAATTTTAAATTTCTAAAGAAGTCCTTCTTCAAAATTCTACAAGCATTTAAAAGAACTTAAAATGCTAAACTTTTTATAATGGTAATGATCTATGACTTAATTTGCATTGTTTAACACAAGTCCTACAATTTTGTAGTTGTAATTACTTTTACAAGCACTCCTAATGTCACTGAAAAACTTTACATAAGCTTAGCATAAAAATTCAAGGCAAGGCAGGCAAAGTAGTAAGTCAAATGGGAAAAAATTAATGCAATTTTGTAAACAAAATCAACCAACAAAATCCAACCTGTGGTTTTATTTATTAATTTTAGAATGATGGCAAAAATCCCCAAGAGCCACATAAAATAAATGAGGAGTCAGAAGTAGTAAAATTCATACCCATAATAAATCCTGAGTGTGTCTAGAAGAAACTGCACACCATACTTCTTTCTGAAGAGCCTTCTACTGTCCTTGATGATTGTAGAAAGATACTGTATATGTCCTACAACATAAAGGTTTCTTTTAGAACCAAGATAAAGATTTGTGTCATGTGAAGAGTCCTGTGCCTTCACACAGTTGCCTCAGGCCAAGAGCTCACCGATTCTGAAGGGAAAGTCACCACTGTTCCAGATGCTGAAGTCAAAAAGCAAGTGGTGATACATCTGTTGCAAAAGCTGCATGTTCTTTTCTACTGAGACTTGTTCTATCAGCAACTGTACAGCCATCAGGACATTCACATCCATTAAGATGCTTGGCACCTTGCAAAATAACAACAGGTGTCAGCACTCAAAATACGGAATGTCCTAATAAAATTTTATTTTAAAAAACAGAAGTTTATTTTATCTTCTACAGCCAGGTCTGCTCCATTAAAGCAATAAAATAAACACAAAAGTAGTCTCATTTGAATAACCAAACAACAAAATAGCTATATCAAAAAACCAGAACATTACAGAAAATGAAACATTGTATTTCACTTTGCAGATAAAGACCAACTTCTCACACCTTTTTGCTTTTAGAAACACAAGAAATAAAATTCTTACTAAGGAGGCCTTTAAAGACTGTGGCATTCTGGCTATGCTTCAAAATCAGAACCTCATCCACAAAATTCATTACTAAATGATGTTTCTCAAGTTTGCTCACCTTCTGTAACAAGGCTCCTAGGGTGGCAACTCCATGGGAGTGAATGAGATTTTCTTGATTAACATGATGTCCCTGAATAAAATGTTTTATCATCAAGATGAAAGTTGCAACTATGTTCTTCTCTAGACGTGCTTCTGCAGAACAGAACAACAGTAGCTAAAGTCTTATGGTTTATCATTGGATCACTGCATAAAAATAGAGGGGAAAAAGTAAAATCAACTGTTTATATTCCTCACTACTTCCTGAAATTCTGAACTCCTGTTCCTTAGCTGTAGCCTGTCTCTAGATTTTTTCCTGTGCAGAATCATAGCCAATCCATGCCCCTCCAGAGCAAAGCGATCCCAGTCCTGACTTCAGTTGCTTCATCCATGACTGTAGGTTACAAACTTCTTTGTTACAATCTTTTGCAAATGCTGAATTATTTTCCCTCTGTAGCTGCAAACTGACACTTCCTAGCCATGGTATGCAAAAAATTAGAGACAGAGAAGATCTATTATTTTCACTGTTCTCCATCATTTCATCTGTGTAAAAAAGTAGCGTTCTGCCTTGCAAGGTCTGCTTTCTCAGTGGTTTTTGTTAAGTCAAAGTTAATTCTGAATACTAGCAAAGCTTTAAAAAAATCTAATCTTAAAGCATCTTTTCAGTTTCTTTTTATTTTAATCCAAAATGTGACTATGTGTGGAAGAGGTAGGAGCCTGAATATTTTATTAGGAAAATATAAGTTTGGCTAAAGGCTAAATAGTGCAGTTCTGATGCTGCTGTCCCCACATGCCTGTGTGACCCAGCTCTCAAGCTGTAGGAAAGCTTCTCCTGTTGATATCAGTAAGTTTTACATCAAACAATTTCTCAAACAATCAGAATAGAAATTAAAACAATGTCATACCTTGGCACCTGTAACAGTAAATAATGAAAAGAAAAATAATGCTATTAAATATATCTATACTTGAAATATGTTATATTATTTTTTATATAGTACTGAACTCCTGGTATTCAGTATCCATGTCAGGTATCTAGGAACAGAAAGAGCCTTTCAGCTTTACATAGATGCTCTGGAAAATTCAGCACATAATAAACAGACTTCTGTCATTCACAAAAGGACTTGTAAAATCAAGCTCAAAAATTAGGTCAGTTCAGCTTCACTTTCCTACCTGATGCCTTTGGGGATGAAAACACCACCCAGTCACCCTCTACAGGAGTTACAAGTTCTGGAGGCAGAGCTTCTCCTTCAGACTTCTCAGGCATCTGTGCACCAAGAAAACTGATCTGCTCCAGCAATGGAAACAGCACGTTCATTCCACCAATACAGTTGATCATATCCTGAATCAAGAGAAAAGGCAGGATAAACAGCATAATCACCATAAATAAAATCCCTTCCACTATAGCAAAAATTTACTCTGCATACAGGAGTACTCACAAGCCAATCAGAATGTCTCACAGGCCACTTACACATGGGCCATCCTGTCAGCTCTTGTTCTGAAAGTACATTTTGTACATTTCCTTCCTCCTCCCCCATATAAACACTGAAAACTGAAGGACACAAAAACTTAAGAAGAATCTTCTGCTAAATATATTTGAAAAACAGGAAAAAACATCTCTCTGATTTCTAAGTTGCAGCAAGCAGCAAGATAAGACGAAGATTATACACATCTCTGTTTTAATCATCTTCCTGCAACATGTCAAGTTCAGGTCAATCAAATAATACAATTTTTTTTTAAATAACTCTACACATACATCAATTCTAAGCCTCTCCTTAAAATTCAAATCTCCCAAGTCCCCCTTTTTCCCCTCCTTCTCACAAGTGGAGATAGCACAAGACAGCCCCTGGCGGTGTTTAAGGACAGACTGGATTTGGCACTTAGTGCCACAGTCTGGTTAACAAGATGGTGTTTGGTCACAGGTTGGACTTGATGACCTCAGAGGATGTTTCCAATTTAATTGATTCTGGATTCTGTTGTTCAAACAATGCTTCTTGTGGTAAGGTATAATATATTCCAAACACAAGATTTCTAGAAGTGATTCACAACCACTTCAAATAATTTCAAAATCAGGGTTTTAGCAAGCTAGTCAGAGACACCCACTCATTTTCCCAGCTTGGTCCAGAGACAAATACTGTGGAGCTGGTGTAAAGAGGACAAATTTTAGAACTATTCATATCATAGCAAGATTAACTAACAAGTGTCTGCATTTTCTTAACATTAGTCTCAGCAAGTGGTTGTAGAGATATGCACAGTGGATATGTAGGGTGTAGCTCCAGCAATATTTCCTTATTAATCAGTTTGCCAGTACAGTCAATTGTTCACAGTTCTTGGAAAAAAAAGGCAGATCTTATTTACAGTGCATACATTTTCCTCAAGATGAAAAAATGTGGTATTCTACTGACAAGTCCCAAGTGTTAACTAAACCCTACTAATCTTCATCTAACTCAAAGTTTATGACAGCAAGAAAACCATGACAGAATTCCCTAGAGATGAAAAAATGCTCTTGATACACAACATGCATCCAACATTATTATGAAGAATTGTCAGCTGCCACAAAATATCGTCATGTACTGTGACAGTAAATGCAGTGGCACTCATAAGTTCTCAATAAATGTAATGTAAAGGCAACACTACTTCAGCTACAGTGTTAGCCCATGAATTCTTAGTATAAAAACATGATGCATCTGTTAAATATAATTTACATTATGATAATAACTTCCAGCATTCTGAAAGTTAGATGAACACACAACCACTGTTATTTTTGCATCAGGTTCTGCCTCTTCACAACACATTTACCTTGATGTCCCAATTCACTACTTTGTTTCCAGTTAGTCTTCCATGTAAAAGATTTGCAGACAGGTCAAGGCAAATAGGGTTTCTGCAGGCCTGTTAAACACATAAAGAAGCCATGATATCATCAGGCATCTACAACTGCTTGAACACAAGATTTTGTGCCAATGTGTTGATATTAAAGTATTTAAACAACATGAAACCCCTAGAATATAACACATGCCATTTTAGATTTGACATTCTCTATTGTACAAGATAATTCCATCCTTTTGCAAACCTACTATGTCTGCACAAGACTACAGTTTAAGAAAGCTCTCACTGCTCCTTATCTTCCCATAAAAGCCACAGTGCAAACACTGAAAGCAATGCACACTGTGTAGTCAAAGAGAAATTATGCCCTGTTTCATACCTTTGGTGTATAATGAAGCAGCACCTTACTGGGGAGGTCTGCTACTTCAGCTTCTTGAGACTTCCATGGAGTTAAACAGTTTGGACCTATTAAAAAAAAGTATATAAAATCATATGACCTATTTTTAAGAGTCCAGTGGTTATTAATGTTGCCCTTTACAAATGTTATACTACCAAACTTGTTGGAAGAACAAATGGGACAGCCTGAACCATATCTATTTGAGACATGCTTTCAAGTAGAGTTTCTATGACTTAAATCATTCATTTCAGAGGGTCTGCTTAAAAAGGAACACATCCTACATGAAATGCTAAACTGCACAAAGAAGAGGTGTTTTTTTACCTTCAAGCAGCTCTCATGTTTGTCTGTACAAACACCTATCTCACATTTGTGACTAATCTCTGTCATCAAGCCTAAATGCCCAGAAAATGAGTAACCTTCAAGATAGTTTTGTTTAGCAATACAAAATACTTCCTTTAAATGATGCAAGTGTTTTAATGCCAATCTGTAACAACTTTGAGTCATTGTGCAACTTAATACCTTTCACACTTTGAACTGTACCACACAGCTTTCAGAGTATTTTCTTCAAAATGACCACTTAATTATTGATTCTTATGGAAGAATCCTTAAGCATAAATCACCTTTAAGTAGCCTAACAAATAAGGGCAATACTTTTAAAGAGTCTCAACTGTAAACACATGTGAGCAAAGGGTAGCAAAAATTCAGAAATTTACAAGTGCAATTATTCCCTAATGTTTAATTTTACAGGTCTGCTCATATGATAAACAGATGAGCTTATGGAAATGTAACATTTTAAAATCAAACTTCATAACATACTTATTAAATGTTAAGCTTATTTGCTTTAAAGCCCTCTCACTTAGGTCAGTTCTGCAGTTCTTCTGGATTGTAAGTTCTTCATTATGTGTCTGTGTAAAGCAAAGCTTAGTGTGGTCTTGTTCATAACTCATTCCTTTTACTTTACTTACTGGCTAAAACCAGTACAATCACCACTCACCTGCTAAATATAATGCTTTCACCTGAGAAGGTTGCAGTGCTTCATGAAAGATAATAACTGATCCAAGTTGGCCCTCCAAAGATGTTGGACACCCCCATTCACTGTCCTGAGTCCCTGCTGAGATCATTTTGGTGATGAACTCTGGTTTTCCAAGCACCCCACCCCAAGCTCCTGGAGTGAGAATGCCCCCAAGCGATGTCCGGTGGGGCATGATTGGGGAGGAAAAAGGGGGATCTGGAATCTGAGAGGGAGGAGGAGTTGTTGTTCTTTGGCCAGCTGAACCAATGCAGCAAGAAGTGAAAGACTGGAGAGTCATACATGGAAGAAAGAAAACAAAACACATACTGTAAATCTCTGCTTTAAATCTGAGGACTGCATCTAGCAAATCTGAACAAAATAAATGAAACCCTAAGCAACAAGTTCTGCCAAGCAATCCATCACAGTAGGCCAAAAACCAGAGCATATACTTCTCATAATCAGAAAGAACACCCTTTTTCCAACTAAGAGCAATTTGCAGCATTACTTCAAGTGCTGCATGACCTCTGGCAGGAGCACAGCAGGAGGGCCAGCTCCTGATACCCCTCTGTAAACACTCCTCTTCTGGATTATATTCCAAAATACTAGCCCAGCATACCTGCTACTGCACATTTCTCGTATCACTTAGTCCACTCAAACAGATGCTCTCATGGTAAGATTACTTGCCCTATTTCCGGTTACCTTGAGATTTATAATGTTTATTCTACAGATTGGCCAAAATCCAGAGTTTTATCTTGAAATGAAAACTACACTTCCTCTCATTTATAAGTTTTATACTGATTTTACCATTACAGCATCCAACTTAATTGTTTTCTCAACATACTTAACAAATATCAAATTAGAACTTAGAAAAGAGGGAAGAATGTTGGGTGTTATACCCAGTTTAATATAAATTTGTTTCCCAAAATGAAGGAACAAAGCTTACAGAGGAAATTAAACATGACATACACTCATTTTGATGGCTAGTATATTGCTAAATGTGTATACATTCAAAATGGTTAGATTAACTGTACATAAAGTGCTTATTCAATTACTAAAAGAATAAGGAATAGCACATTAAGGAAACATTCAAAAAACCCAGTAAAAATACATGAAAATAACAGGGAATATTCTCCATTGAGTACTGTTACATCAATCCTACTGGTAGAGCTGCCACTTATGATGATGTCATCATAAATTATGTCACTATACTCAGGCAATTATTTTGAGGAAAACCCCACTATTTAATCAATGCCACCTGGTAGACGTTTTTATTTTTAAACAGAGATGACTAAACAATAATTACTTAATGGTTAGTTACACTCCAAAAGGATAATTCTGGAGAGTATCCATGGCTGAAGATTACTAGCAGCAGTCTGAAGACTCACTGTTGGATGAGAGCTCATCCTACCAGGCAATGGCTCAGAAGGGAACTTACTTCATTCATAGCAGGGAATCGAAGTGGGGCAGAGACCTTCTGCTGTCCATTGACATAGATATACACAAGGCTCTGACCAAAGGGCCTCTTTCCAGGCACGTGGACAATAGTTATGTTGTGCTGCAATAAAGAATAATTAAGTCACTATTAAGAGCAGTGAAATTACTATATGAAACTATTTAACTTTATCTCTACTAAGCTGGAGGAAAGCATTTAAGAAAATAAATCCAAACCATCAACAAGAATATAACAAAAACACCTGCTGATTCTATTTCAAAGTAGTAAATGTAATGTTTACATAAAAACAGGTTTTGGAAGAGAAAGATACAGCTCTTTCATAATAATGCACATCAGTTCTTAATCATAGGAATAGAAAAAAGTAAGGCAGAAACAGCACCACAGCCATCTATGCCTGTTTTAATTTAATATAAAAACCTCTAATGTCGTAACAAACTTAATCAACAAAAATGCCTAACACACATGCATAAGTTAGCTCAATTGATAACTAATCTATGTGAAAATTGCTTGCATTATTTGAGATTAAAACTGCTCTTATGCAATGAATTACTGCAATATTACAAAACAGACTATTTGTTAAATGATCAAAAAAACAATTTTGACTTCGGAGCTAACAATACAATCCTAAACAAAGTGTTTGTCAGTATCAAATCTTACCCAGAGAGAGTCAAAAAAACAATGGTCAGGCAGCATCACTGTTGCATATTCCCTCTTTGTGCACACTGCAACCACCAATACCCCTGAGCATGTAATAAAGGCTTCAAACCCCATACCACTTCCTGTAAAAAAACTACAAAAGACATATAATCAAGGACTTGCTTCATCAAAACTACCACCTAACAATACACTCATTAAGAAGAAAATCTACTCAAGTTGTTTGGTGGTGGTGCAATATTTACTATGTGACTGTTACTTCTCTTATTAAAAAAAACTAAAAAAAACCAAAAAAACCCCAAAAGACACTTTGTTTGCTTCTATTAATACCTAAGAAGTTAAATTACATCAAGAAGCATTCATGTCAATACACACTATTTAAGCACCATGAAGGTGCCTTCTCACTTGCGCACTTATACAAATCCAGACTTTATGACCTTTACAACAAACTGTGTGAAAGCTTGTTCTGGTTTTGGGTGGGAGGTTGGAGGGATTGGGTTTTGGTTTTTAATCTTGTTTCGTTTAAGCCATGAACCTTCCCACAATTTGGAGTTATGGATGTTGAAACTGCAGATGACAAGACATTACAACAGAGAAACCACACTGAAGTTCTGTAACAGAACTTGGCTGTGATGACCGATGAAAGCTCTCCCTTTTCCAGACCAAGCACTAAGTATTGCCTTCAATGAAATTAAGCAGAAGCAGCACATGTCACGGTACCAAAAGCCACAGGGCACAGATGGCCCACCCCTGCAGGCTGTAGCAGTAACTGTACCTGTACAGCTGCTTCCTCTTGCCGCTTTTGCCCGTCGTGCCGGGGTCCACCCGGTCCTGGTCGAGGCAGAGCCAGGCGTTGAAGGAGAAGGCGGAGCCCGGCCACCTGTGGATGGCGGGCAGGGCGATGCCGGCCATGCTGTGGTGCAGGTTGAAGTACTGCAGGGCGCTGGCCAGGCCCTGCTTGCGCGCCATGGCCAGCAGCGCGCGCATCACCGGCACCACGTACGGGTGCGCGCCCCGCGGCTCCTCCGGCCGCAGCAGCCGCACCAGCTGCAGCAGCTCTTCTGAGCCCATGGACTGGCTCCCCAAGGAGCCCAGCAGGGCAATCAGGTTCTCTGCACAGGTGCAGTGGAGCACCGAGTGGGAATTGAGGGTCTCGATGATGCGGATGACCATGTTTGCGTTGACGCACGTGGCACGGCTCTGCCTGTCAATGCAGCAGATTCGCCTCAACCAATTGGAGATGAAAATCTGCAGCTCGTGGGATTCTAGCTCTGGAAGCCACTGGATCAGCAGCAATAAGGGCTGGACATTACTAATGCCTAGTATCCCAACAGCCATGTGGTCACCTTCAACAGCCTGAAAAACAGCAGGGAACTCAGACATGAAACACAATAAGACAGGGCCAGAAGTACTGTTGAAAGATGAAAGATTTCTGCTTCAAAGCAAGCACAGCTCACCATATTCATGAGTTCCTCCAGCAATTCCCGTGATGGCTGACCCAGTGATTTCAGTACCTCATATATGTGTGCATACCCAATCCTCTCCTTGAAGACCTCCTGAGGATAAAAATTCCCATCTCACTAACAAGTAAAATGCACAAAAACTGCTTGTCTACTGCAGCAGGTAGACAAGCAACTTTTAATTTAGACAGTTTAATGCAATATTAGACACATAATAATTAGAATGTAATAATTACAGGTTAGAAATCTATTTTTGATAACCTGTTCAATCTATGTCTCTAGAATGCTGCAGATGAGAAGCATTTCACTGGAGCACACAGATAAATAACAGTTCAAAGTTGTATTTTATTAATTACCTATAAAAGAATATAACTACTTTGGTATAATCCAAATGTTAATAATATCACAATGAATAAAGAGCTTAGTTTTTCATCTTTTTAGTGCAAACTATAGCTTGAAATGTTTACACTGAAACACAGAAGTATTCAAATATTAATGTTTCAGTAAAAAACTTTCATAGAGCAGATTAAAAACCACCTATCCTAAAAACTTTAAAAAATTAGAGAAATGTTCCACAGAAGTTTTCCTGAAAACTAACTGATTTTACAAGAAAAAAAAAAAAATAACCAGCAAAGTTCAAACAGTAGTATCCATTTATGGTTCAATTATTAAACAGCTAACACATCATATGGAATGGATACTCTTCTCCTGGCTCTAGTTTGTGTTGAAATGACTTTTTTAAAAGAATAAATCTTTCAGCAGAAGTGAGGTGACTGCTTAGGTAAACATGAAAAGAAAAAATACACATATTGCAGTAGAAGTACAATTGAAAACTCTGACTCTCTGTGAATCCCAGCTAGGCCCCATCTCCAACACACAACTCTTCCCAGGCTTTCCTGAGTCAGTGGAGAAATAAACACCTTCAGTAAAGCTCTGGAGGAGCACAATAGATCCTGTTGTCTCTCCCTTAGGCTGTACTGCAAGTAGCAAAAAAATTAATGATTCCCACTCCTCCTTTATCCTCCAGTGGACAGTCACATCCCTTTACCTGTGCCAAGTCCAGGGAATCATTCAGCCAAGGGTTGAATTTAATTAACTCAGCAACCCAGGAATAAATATACTGTTTTTCCATGGGCTCAGCTTCCAGTCATAATCACAAACTAACCACAACCTATCCATTTACCAAATGACAAGAATAACTACCAGGGAAGGGCACAGGGCAATAGCATAATCACCATCTGGCAGCAATACAGTCTTGGCTTGCTTTAAAGCCTTATAAAACTACAATACAAACAGCTGCCTGAAAAATTCCTCCAAATACCCACTAAGTCTACCCCATATATCCATGAGACAAGTAACAATGTCCTTTCTTTACAGAGGTTCCAACTGCCAGCATACTCAGATCTTCCAGTTTTGGTAGAAAGATGGCTCAGTGTTCAGCCATTAGACACATATAAAGGGATAAGAAATGCTAATCAGCTATTCCTATCTGGCATGAATGTGTGAGCACAATCTGCTCATTTCCATTAGCAAGATCCATCAAGGTATAACTGGAAACAAGATGAAGAAGCTGCAAACAGCCCTGTGCATAGACACTGTTACCTTTGCAGCTGGAGACTTGTGCATTACTGCTGTGAGGGCTTGAATGGTTGACACTGCCAAGGAGTCCAGGTGTCCCTGAAACACCTGAAAGGAGCAGGTACAGAAGTCATATAACACATGCAAAGACAGTTCAGCTCCAAAATCTGTGCTATGCCCTCCTGCCAGGAGGGAAACCAAGAGTTTGCTAACATGCTTCAAAAATCATCTCCCCACCAGCCAAAATTTCAAACCCCACAGCCTACAAGGAATTACATCACAGTAGACAACTAACCACAGACTTCAAGAGGAGAGGAGCATTCGCAACACAAACTGCACCTCAAATATTCTGATGGACAAACAAGTTTTCCTCATGCGTCTAATGGACAACCTCAAGAGGGAGGGAGGAAAACAACTAGGAAATGTCTTGCAGTGTGTGTGCTGCTGGAAAATCAGCATCTGCAGTTCATATAAAGTGACTTATTCTCCATCCAAGGCCCTGCAAACCAATGCAGCACAGACACACCCCCAAAATCTAAGAGATAAGTCACACCAGCACAGTTAGGCGGCTGCCTCACCCATAGCCTCAGTGCATTGATTCAACACCTCTCTCTCCAATTTAAGTAACCTTTTGAGTTTTTTTTTTCTAAAATTCTTGTTTCTATTGATATTTCTATGATGGTTTTAAGAACAAAAATGTTGGAGCACTTTTTGCATCCATCAGTAAACCTAATTAGCAACAATGTACAAACAAACATACTGTTTCATCATCTCTGAAATATGATGTGCACCTCAGACATATTTTGAAAGTGAAATGTCAAGAATCAGATTATTAGATGTGAAGAAACATTTACATGTGGTTAGAGCATTGTGCTGTGTCCACAAAAGCCAAAGCTATTAGTTAAAAATCACAATTTGTAAATAACCATCCCTTGTATTCAGCTTTTTTTTTACATTTTTAATCAGAACAAATAATTCTACTATAAAATTTATACAAAAGCTGACATTTGTAACTTTCCACAGTATTTGGGAAAAGCAAAGCAACAGGCTATTCCTACCTCCCTGATTCAGCCTGTCCATTGTTTTGTGAACATCTGTTCTTGATGACAAGCTAAGAACCAGGACACCAAACACAAAACCATTGAGATTCACAAACAAGGCCCCAGAATCCAAAACACCACAGTGCTGAGACAAAGAGCAAAAAAGAGGAAAAGGAGGGGAAAAAGAATCACCACCAGTTTGAGAAAATTAATTTGGCTCTCATTCATGTGCTTCACCTTTTCCTTAAAAAAAGCATAACTGATGCTCATTCTATTGCCAATATCTGCAGTTTGAAGCAGATGAATAAAACATAGGCTGAACTCAATCTGTTATTCAGAAAAATCATTTTCCAGAGACAGGAAATGCTGATCTCTGCAGCATCAAAAGTTTATCTTGCTGCAGAAGGCTTAAGGAGGATGATTAAGGTGAAGCACAGGAATCAATTTTCCTGTGATTGTGTCTTGACTTCAACTGAAGCAAAATACAATTTAGGTAGGTACCTGGTCCTCATTCATTTCTGTCAGTAATTTGTTGGTAAGGTCTTTCTCACTCTTGTCTGCCACTTTATTGTTAGCATTTAAAAACAGCTGTTAGAAACAGAGACAAGAATAATGGAAATAATTGCATTAAACAGTTACCTGCAGCCAAATCTGTGGAGGCTGCCTTAGATTTGTATTTCACATACAAAAACAAAAATGCAGGGAAAAAATACTGATGATTACACTGTATTTTTGCAAAAAAAATTACTTTTTTTTTTTCAAAAAAAAAAAGAAAATATGTAATCACTGAGACAAAGAGAGAGATTTATCTGGAATTTGTACTCATCTCTGGCTTAGCAACTGTGATTTCATTCAATATGCAACATGACAGAGTTCTAAGAAATTTACTTGTAAGAAATAAAGACAAGAGTGGGGCATTAACAAGGAAATGGATACAAATGTTTCATCATTTTCCACTTATATTTCAGCCTAGGTGAAAGCTGAAGATACCTAGACAGAATATGTTCATCTTCAAACAGCATAGTAGCAGAATTTCTGGGGCACACAGTCTTTGGGACAGGAAGAAGGGCAAAATATCTCTGCCATCATCCTGAGGATCAGACAGGTTGCAAATAGCTTTAAATCAAACATACACCCATACTGCATGAACAGCTAAGGAACCGCTCTGTGTTCAGTAGCTAAATTCCTAGTCAGTACCTGAATTTGACAGTTTCCAACTCACCCAAATTCATATTCAATTGCAGTCAATTTGTGTGCCAAATTTAGATGTAACGTAATCAGAACTAAGATTTACCTCCTTCTGTTTTAAGATTTTATTGAGGCATTAAAAAAAAAATCTGATCAAAATGTTTTAAAAGTTCCTTTAAAAAAATATAAACCCTCTCCTTCAGTGGGTAAAACCTTTCCTCCAGTGGGTAAAACCTAAGCATTTCTTTTCCCACACAGACACACACACATTTTGTTCCATTATCTGCTAGCTTAGTCTCCCTGAAGAGGAATAACCTAAGAAATCAACTTCCATAAATTTGGCTAAAACAAAGGACAACACTGAAGATACTACTTTGACTTACATAGGTGTGAAAGCACATTGTTAGAAACACTTTGAAAGGTACATCACAGTCAAGAGCACTCAACAACGCAGAGTAACTATAATATGTCTCAGAGGACTAGAACATTAGCAAGAATAAGAACATTAAACAAAAGCAAATGGAGACAATGAAAAAATAAAAATGTCATCAAACTTTTGGTATGAGTTGCTTCATTTCTCATAAGGCATGTGAAAAGGAAAAATAGATTTCTTTTTACAAAGTCTATACTGTTTGAATTTTTCCATTTAAAAGCTGTTAAAAAACCACTTTTTTTTTTCTTTTAATCAGACATACTGTTAAAGGTCATTGTGCTTTGCTCAAAGTCTGACCTCTGAGATAGTTAAACAGATGAGAAAAGATCCAGCACTGACAAACCAGATTGTTAAATGACTCTCAGTACAGAATAAGCACCTCCTGATACCTCTAAATTACAGTCCCTCTTTTTGGATATCACTGGCAAAAAGCAACATTCAGATCATCAAAACTTAACCAAGCAGTTTTGAAAAGCTTTTGTGTAGATCTCTAACCCTAAAGCATAGCTAAGGAAAGACAGTTTGCCTATGAGCCTTAAAACCAGCAAACATTAAAGAAAAAAAAAAAGGATTTACATCTTAGAAGATTGTAATACTGCAAATGACTAGGAAGTATGAGTAGAAATACAACCTTGAACACCCCAAGTTCTTTGGGATATCTAGAGCAGAAATATGGATTTGCTTTACTCCTCCTTTCCATAGAAATTACTTGCATTTCAAGTTTGCAGAAGATCCAATAGCTTCCTGAATTTCAGGTATGTGTATGGACTCTCATGCTCTCTGCAGAAATGCAGAACATGCTTTCCACACACAGTTTGCTTAGGAACCCAGTAGCAATTTTCACAAAATAAGGAATAAAATCTAGAACTAGGATCTCCGCCCCCAGCTTATAAGGAGAAATGCTAATTCCAAAACTAACTCAATCTTTGCTATTTGGCTTTGAAAAAGAATGGAGACACAGTATATTTGGAAGTACAAATATACTGCGACACCTGCCCTGCCTCTATCTCTCCCACTTCTCATCTGCAGGGGTATTTTGCCTGTGAAAGGCTAAAAAAGCACACTGTGTACCAAACTGGCAGCACTGATCTCAAAACAACACAGTGATATGTGAGTCTGTACCCCTGGAAAAAACCTTAAAAGAATATATCTTGTAACATACAGACAGGCAGAATGAAAATAAAAACAGCAAGAAAAAATAGATCAGCCGTTCCCGCTTTCTTAAATTCCACCACTTGTTTATGAGTGCAGGTACACAGCAAAGAGTTTCCATGAAGAGGTAAACATCACACTGCTGATGATTTTAGAAGAAACTAAAAAAGGAGTTTCTTATCAAGCACAAGGTTAGTACAAAAACAGGCAGATTCCCAAATGCAGGAGAAGAATGGAAAGGTCAGACAATGTATTTTCAGAAGGAGATAATAAAGCTACAGACTATTTAAAACACTTCAAGTCAGTTGGCATTCTGCCTCTAATTATAATTACAATTAGGACATAATCCAAACACATTTATTTTTAATACATCATTGCACTGAAATACATTCTAATCCAAAATCTAAACGGATTAGAAACAAATTGCACAGTGTAGTTAGCATTAAATTATCTAACATCAGAAGAGCTCAAAACAGCTATGTCACTAACATATCACATAATAACATATCACAAAAAGAAAAGTGCAGAGAGTTACATCATATCTGTGTTCTTTCAACAGGGAAAAATAAAATCAGTGCAATCAGTGGAAGTTTGCAAATTATGACCATTTGCAGCTCAGATGAAAACCCCAGATCCTATGTAGAAAAGGAAAAATTGAGGAGCATTTTTAACAGTTAGAGCTCGTATTTTATGTCAGCCACACACAGGATTCAAATATTCTGAAAGACTTAAAATGGGACATCAGAAAGATTTTTTTAAATGGAAAAACATTCCTCCGAAATTAGAATTCAGACCTTCATGTGGCAGCAGTTGTTAAGTGACTTCCTAATGATCCAGTGATAGAATATAAGAGAAACAAAACAAAATAATGAAACCCCACAACAAAAAGCCAAATAAAAAGGCAGGTGGGATTGATTTTTTTAATCAGACATATAAGAGATTACTGTGCTTAGCTCAAAGTCTGACATCTGAGAGATTGTAATAGGTAGGAAAAGATTCAGCAGTAATTCAAAGATTGTAACAGATTTTAGAGACTGAGCAGGGTCGGCAAAGGTATTTTGCTCAGGACTCAAAGTATTCATTGCTTTAACCACAAGGCAGATGAGACACCTCCACCTCATTAGTAATAATACAAGGCAGGGCTTGTTAAAAATATGCTGATAAGGGAAAACTTACCTTGCAGTTCTGCAAGAGTCGAATGAGATGCTCAAAGCAGTTACTGTTAAGGAAAATTGCCTGCAGAACAGGCCTATCTGTGCAGTCTAACATGGCTGTGATGGTATCTATAAAATTAAAACAGAACTGGCATCAAAGACAAAACACATCCCAAATCCATCAAGCATTTCTTCCTGCACATTCCATAATACATATCAGGAAAAAATTATACAAATCATATTATCTGCACTTTTGATCAAGAATGATATGCATTTTAAGAACAAATCACTAGGCCTAAAGCTAAACATTTTGACACTGTAAAGACTACCACAGACTAATATTATGGAGAAATTTTACCAAATTAATATCTTTGATTGCTTTGGGGCTCTGTTTCAAGTAATTTCCAATAGTGAGAACATAAGCAGCATCACCTTTTCTTTAGAGCACATGAACATTTCTTTCCTCAACAAGCAATTACTCTGCATTCTACAGCAGCCTTATAGTGTAAGCATTCTCCATGGCCACAGTACTATTCCTCAGTTTTCTTGGAAGTATGGGAAAAGAAACACCTTTATTCCCCGTGCTGAACATCAAAATGGAAAAAATTCAAAGCCCTGAATTCTAACCCAAAAATTTATACCCAACTCTCAGACTATTACTTCTGGCCAATGCTTACAGTAATGCCATTTGAAAATCAAACTATCACAAAACAACACCACATAGCTATTTTATTACAGAACAGTTTTATTCTGCAATTACTAAGGTACTGACAAGCTTCACTTCTTGCCTAGCAAAGTTTTTCTCTTTCAACAGACACTTTTGGCCTATGAACCTTGACACTGGTTAAATGGTAGCAATCTGATATGGTTACTTCTGGTTTTTTTATTACTAAATTGTGGAAGAGGTTTCACAGCGACTTCTGTGAACCAGAAAGGAGTGTGATAAGAGGATCCATGTTTACCCCTGAAAGAATTTTCTACCAAGGTCATTGACATAGAAACCAAGAAAGAGAGAAGGATAAATAAGAGAAACCTACAACTGCCTATTCCAATAAGCTCTCTGTTTGTCTTTCCTGACCTATGAGTAAAGTGTAAACTTATGAGCTTTGTAAGAATGTATAAATAGCATGCATGCTGTAATAAAACCGGGTTTGAAGCTTCCTGAAAGTGGAGCATTGCTTTGTTTTGTGACCCTCTCAACTACGACAGTAAATAATTAAAACAAGAAATATCTAAGAAGAAATGTTAGAAATTTTTCAATTGCTTAGCCCAGTCAATATTTTTTGCTTCAGAATTATTGAAAGGAACTGTGTACTCACTCAGCATTTGGATCTGCAGTGCTATGAATCTGCTCTCCCACTGCCTGCATCGCCTTGGATTAGGTAAGGCTGAATGGTCTGAGTTAAGCAACTTGAAATAGTTCTCCAATATTGTACTTGTCTCCACCTGGCGCTGGTCAGAACTGCTGGTTAGGAGGATATGGACAACTTCTGTCAGGCACTTCAGAGTCAGCTCTGCCTTCCTGCTCACTTCCTCAGGGTTTCTGTCATCCCAGTTGTCACAGTCTGCTAAAACACGCATCAAGACTTCCATGGTGGCAGGGGATACTGCTTGAAGAGCATTCCTCTGAAACCCATTAAGGCAAAAAAATGATTAAGAAAAATAAATTTAGAAGAATTTAAACCTCTTCAAGCCAGCTGTGTCTACTTGAGTTATCTGAACCACGCAATATGCATTATTCCATCCACTAATGCTGTGTAGTTAAATAACTAAGAAACATTCTATTTGGATTATGCTGATGGCTACAGATGAAATGCATCCCATCTTGTTCACTTAAATAGGCTCTCTTTTTCAAAGGGAATGCTTATATAGAAAAGGAAATACAATTTAAATATGTGTTATAACATTCTTATAAATTAGCCCTGATAAACTGCTAATTTGAGGCAAACCTTCACCTGAGTTTTCATTTTAGATTATGAGATTCGTGATACTTTGGAATGTGTGGTAAGAAGATACTCATCAGCAAACGTTTGCCTGGACCCTGAATGCATTTTTCTCACCTTTCTTCCTGGAGGCCTGACTGTCTAGGCTCAGAGACAGAAGCCTGAGCTTGTGGCAGGCTTTGAGAAGCCCTGTCAGGGATTCCTTGCCCTGTGTAGGGAGCTGCATTCAAGTTTTGGCTCTCAACCCTTTATTGTTTGATCTACACGGCAGCCATGGCCATGCCTGGCTGTGTCATGTCTTGAACCTGACCCAGTGACTTGACTGCAGCTTGACCTCGGCCCTGCCTCATGGCTATGGATGGGGCTGGCAGCCATTGGCCTCTTGACTGACTCTAGTTACCACCAGCAGAGCAAACCCTTACTCTGATGTGCTGACCAGACTTCCTGGCTTGACTTTAGGCTTTATCACCACAGCCTTGTCTGGTGGGCTGGGTTGGGCTGGTCCATCCTGGTTCCAGCCAGCACAGCTGCTCCCATCACTGGGTGCAGTGAGACTGCACCCTCTGCTGGTCAGGGAAGCTGCTGCTGGCCATCCTGCTCAGACTCCACTTGCCTTCCATCATGGAGCAGAGCCTGGCTTTGCAGCTCCCTGGAAACCTTTAAAAACACCCTCTTGGAGATCACCAGAAGTAGCAGCTGCTTGTGACCAGACTAAGTAGGACTTTACAGGAGTCAGGTGAGAAAATGGATGTTGACTTTGCTGCTGATGAATACCCTCATTTCCTCATGTTCTTTCAAGGACTTTAAACAGCTTCCAAGCTGTAATGCCCCACGCCTCCTACTGAAAACAGCTTACTTTCAGCACTGGGAAGTAAGATAGATCAATTTCATGCACATGAACACAAAACATCCATCTGTGCAGGTGGAAATTCCTAATCTAGTTATGCACGTTTTTTCTTAAAGATATTACAGTAAGTTCATATGAACATGTAGTTGTTCTAAACAGCAAACTTCTATGGTTACTTGAAATTGGGACCTAGCTTTTAGCATTTAGGTATTATTGCCCAGAATGATCCCAAAGTTGCTAAGACAAAAATAATTAATCATGGATAATAAATTCTTCTCATTTACAAGTTATGGAGTATTTAAAAATCTTAAACAAAGAACAAGCATTTGGAGGTTTCAGCAGCTGAAAAGTTCAAAGTATCCTTACCTGACCACCAGCCACAATAGCTCCAAAGAGATGCAGCAGGCAACATTTTAGGCTTTCCTTGAGATGTTCACTTTCTTGAAAGCATTCTGATTAAATAAAAAGGAGATTTTTCTCAAAAAAAACCCCACCAACAAATAATAAAAAATCCCTCCTCTATTCCCTGTTATCATACAAATTAAAAAAAAAATCAACTGTATTATCTCCACCTTGTTTTATATAACTCAGACACAAACACACCAATTCCAGCATTATCAAAGCAACACAACATTACCACATTTATCAGGAATTCACAGGGCCACACCTTCAGCTTGCATAAACTTCCCATGCCAGCTGACAGAACTATAGACACACAACTTTTGCTCTCAATTTGTAATGTAAAAATGAGCCCATTTTGTCCATACTAATGAGAAAGAGAAGGACATTCTAACACACAACCAGTTATCAAGCATGATAAAGTTCAGAGAAATTTTGGCATGAAAAATTTCTGATGCCATATGCAGTGCAGGTAGCTCAAAAAAACAGTCCCTGAGCTTGCTGACTTTAAGGCAGATTGTCAGAGACTCCTGCGCGGATCTGTAACCTTTCTAGCAGTAATTTCTTTAATGACAACTATCTTGCATCTCTTCTCTTGCCATATCTGATAGAAATTAGTCCCAGACAGCCTCAGCGTCTCTTCTTAGCAATAGATATAACCGGGATATTGTTGTTATAGCAATAACTGTAGACCTAACACAGCAGCAAGAAACTACAAAGAATTATTTTTGGAAATGCCACTTATTGGCAAGTAAGATTTCTGATTATATACTGAATGTCTAAGCCTATTTTAAAAGAAGATGGCAGAGCTATTTTTCCAAACTCTTCTACAAACAGAACAAAGCTCACTTAGATGATCCCACTGTTAGTGAGCTAGTACCACCATCCTTGACTTATAGCCTCTGGATCTTTGTAGAACTACAGGCAAATTGAAAAGAGCAGTACCTATCAGACTGTGAATAAATCATTAGGCTGGGTTTTTTCTAGTCACTAGACTAACCCCCCCACCACCCCCCCCCTCAAATTAGTCCTAGCATGGCAGGATGCTTAAGGCACATGCTCAGCAATTTCTTACTCTGTCCTTTCTGCCAGTTGGCCAACAAGCAGATGAGTATCTGCTGGCTAATGAGCAGACTTTTAGCTTGGTCACATTATACTGTATTTAAGAGACAGGAGGAACCACAGGGCAATGCACTGAATGGAGAGGAGAGAACCTACAGATGATATTCCTCAGGAGCAGCCTTTAGAGTGGGTTTCCAGTGCTCTGGTATGCAGATAAGGGCATTTTACCGGCAGCAACAATTTGGTCTTTTTGGCAACTATCCTATTTTTTGTATGCAGCAATGGAATCTCAAGGAACAGGAGCTGTGACTCAAACCTAGAAAAATCAAATTCATAAATGCTACCACTCCATGAATAGAATCCCTCTTTTTTTTTTTTTATTTTCAATTAAAACTAAGTTATTGGATGGCTGCAAAAAGGACTGATTTCACTCCTTCACTGCCCTTCCCTCCAGCTTGTTCCTGCAGCTTCAATTCTGTAGGCACTAGCACTTTGGTATGCTCAACTGGCAAACTACCTGGATATCCCACATTCTTGAGATTTAAGTACAGAATACAGACATGTAAGTTCTTCTCTTCCATACAAACAATCTGTAATCATAAGAACACATGAATTCCAAAGTAGCCATCATGATATTTAGAGAAAATTGCTTCTTAAACTTGAGGCCAAGGAGCATTTGCTAGTTGAATGGCACAATTTCATTTCTTCTAGTTGTTAAAGCATATTAAAGAGACAGAAGTACATGAACACTCTCCTAAGATAATTTTTCCATGAGTTATCAGTGCAGTTACTACAGAGATTGCATGTGCAATCACTGTGTACCAAAATAAAAAGAAAATTCACAGAACCAACCCTACTAAACCACGTTAGGCACTGAAATGAAGTCTAGAAATAAAGAAAAAGGCTTTCAAAGATGAGCAGGAATGACAAAATGGTGATGCTCAAAGCAAAGAAGAAACACAAAAAATAAAGTAACCTGCTACATTCAGTCTCAGAAAGCAAGTAAATGACTTGAACATTATCAGGCATGCTTAGGAGAAAGTTACTTGGGCTCACTAAGTTCATTCCTCAACAGAAAACTATTTTTAACAGGTTGTTAAGTAATACTTACGGTAAAAAAAAGGGACAAACTCAACAGTGAGGGAAGCTGGTTTATACTTCTGTCTGCTCCTTTCAACTGTACTAAGGAAACGTCTGCAATTACATTAAAAACATACACCAAAGAAATTAGATATGATACCTTTGTTTATTACTTATTAATTTATTACTTATAATGTGGATTTATAATATGACATAGTAGAAAATGTTGCCATAAATCAGGAGTTATCTTTTGTTTACAGGATGAAAAAGAATAGTGAAGTAGTATTTCATCCTGAAGACATGAATCACAGCTAACCCCATATTCAGCCTGCACTTAAAAATACTTAACATTTTACAAAATGGTTTAGTTTAAAAAAAAAATTAAAAAAAACAGCAATCTCTTATTTAGTCCCTGCTTATTGCAACTAAGCCACCAGCTAGAATGCCACATTTCTTGACCAAGCCATTTTAAATAGGCCGAAAACATTATTATGAGTTCATAATAATGAGAACACATAGTCAAATTAAAGGGCTGTAATTCTATTGCTACACTTATAAACTCATTTTCAAAGATGTAAGTTATCTACACTGTGAACTTCAATAAGTTCTTTTACCCTATTTCAAGCAGGTCTGCCCACCACATTCCTTTTGGCTTCTTTGTTCCACTAATTTAGAAAAATGGTCAGTTTTTGGAAGGAGAACATAATGTAAGCACCTTCATGGTGATCAGTTGCAACCAATCACCTCTTGATATATCCTCAAATTTAATTTTGTTTTAACTTTAGTATTAACAGTAAAAATATTATAATTTTTGAAAATTATTTAAATCATATCCAGTTTGAGAAAGCATAACACATTTCTGTGGTGTGATTCTACTGATTGATGGTTAAAGCTCTCATAAACCAGAGTATTTACCATCCTGTGCCAATCCACACATACCCTGCAATCCGCTGCCTCCAGTTCCGATACGGATCATACAGGCTTTCACAGAAAGCCAATGCATGTCTCACAAATTCTTCTATGGGGGTCTGATCCTCCACTTCTTTTTCTTTTGTTTTGCTTTTTAACTGAGAAGAAAAAGAAAGCTATGGTCAGAAAATTTCCAGAAGTTGAAAATTAATCTTGATCTCCCCCAGAACAGTTCTGAGTCTATGAATTGTTCCCCACTATTACTGAAAGAGCAGATCACATAAAACGCAGCAGGAGGTATCAGATGGCAAAAATACAGACAGGAATTATTAACCATGTACCTGTTGAATGTACAATGTAGTCATGGTGATAACATGGTTAATGTATGAACACATCCCAATCTCTTCCACATTAGCCAAATTCCTGCAAAGACAACATAAAAACCACAGATTGTACACTGTGTATCATTTGAAGCTAGTTCAAACAATGTTTGCTTTAGCATTCTGTCTATATTCATACCAGCATTTCAAAAATAGTCTCCAAAAGACTGCACATACTTAAATGTTTATTTCTGTCACCATTACAGAGCTCACAAGTTTTCATCTAACAGGAAGAAAGATTCAAATCACTCTGCTACAGGCCAATTCCATCTGGAATTTGGGGTTTCAGAGGTTAAGCAAATTCCCAGGACACCCTAAATAGAAAGCTCCGAAATGGCATCTGATAACAAAGACAATAAATTCCACTTTACTAGTGCACACACTTTCTAAAACTTTAGGAAATGTATAACCTAGAAACTTTAAATTTCTCACTTTAAATTCCCTGGAGCAAAACAAACACATAATAAATTATTTTAGAAAATAAAGCAACAACAACTAAGAATTTCTCAGTTCTGAAGTTACAAAGATCAAATACCAAAGTGATGATATAGAATAACTTTTCAGCAAGTAAAGGTGACACCAGTTTGTAATTCAGAAACACATTTCCACCATCCACTCAGCTTATATTCAATACTCCAGGGTATTTAAACACTGCCAGCTCTTTGAATTGTTTCAGAGGTACGGTGAGACAAAGTGTTCAAAAATGCTGCTTCAAGTACTCCTCAGTAAAGGAGATTCTCTATTATATTTTATCTCCTTCCTCTCTCTAATAGCATTTTGCAACAGCAAACTGAAGAAATAGTGAGGAGTAGATCCCTAAAAACAGTTTATTCATTTGTGTCAACAGAATTACACTATCAGGCAGAAGTTTCAGAAGGAAATCAGCTGCATGAGTAGTGTAATAGTAAGTTTCACAAGCTGTTTATGGAATTATAAGCATGTTAAGAATGTGCAACAGTTCTTCCTGTACAATTCTCTTGAGTTATTTCATAGCTAACAGTTGTTAGAGTGCACCTTTTCTTCTAAAAGTATTTCTTATATGAGGTACATCATATCTTGAATTCCCACAGATTTATCTTCTACAGCTACAAAGAATTTAGAGTTTAAACCCCTTCTATTTCCATTGCAAACATTATTGCTAAGATCATTGCTCCCCTCTCTTTCTTTTATTCCCTCTACCTTTATTCTGAAGATTGTGAGAAGTGTTATTTCTCTGTACCTACTGGAATGTATCAAATCACATACTATGTGCCATTAAAATCGATATTTATAGGCTGCATCAAGATTTCTTAACCAAAACAACAGCCTTGCTGAGGTACCAATTAGAACAAATACCTGCAAAGGATGATAAAGAATTTCACAAGTAAAAGTGACAGAGTCTGCTGCTGCTCTTCCAGGCCATCTGACATTTTCTGGACACACTGTAGCAACTGGAGCCTGAGGACCTGAAGAATGTTATCAGGAAGCAGCGAGATTCCCGGTGGAATGTCATCCACCCTAATGAAAAAAGCCAGACACAAAATTGTTAATCATACAAATGCCAAGCTGCCAATCGATTCCCATGCGCTCATGTGGTGTTCCAGTGAAGTTCTGTGGGAAAGGTCACCCAGCTGACACATCACAAACACTTCCTAATGAGCCACACTGAAACGTCTGGTGGCAATACACCAGTCTGAGCTTTCTTTTCCCCAGCAATGAACTACATTTAAAAAAAATAAAAAGTGTTAAAATTCATTAAGTGGCTTCCTAAATCCTCCTCCATGCAATGAGCTGCCTTAATTGCCACAAAGAAATTGCATGATCTTCACCAGGTAAAAAGGTGGCCTGGGAAATCCCCAGGGACAGTCACAGTGGAATGAAACATGAGAACAAAACATATTTGGAGAACATTTTCTACTTTCTACTGAAGATTAAAAGTGCCCAAATAAATGAGATGCCAATTATTGCATAGTTATTGAAGCCCAGTTGGTATTCATCCACAGTGAACCTCACGTTGTTCTAACAAATTTCAAAAAGCCATACAAAATTATCTTTTGCCTATTGTTTTCTGCAAACTAAAATATTTTTAGAAACACGCCAGTGAGAACCAAGACATGAAGAAAAGAATGGGTTTATTTGTGGTTTAATTCTTTTTTCCAGTGATCCAAAACCAAATAAGAAAATGACTCAGGAACAACCATAAGGAAACCCATTTCAATAACAGTATAGAAATCTACAGAACTGTAAGAACATTTTTTGGGATAAGAATTGTTTATCCACCGTTGCACATGCTAAAAACAGTTAGCCTTTGGCAGCAGCTGACACATCCTCTGTGAACTCTATGAAGGAAAAGGAAGACACAGGCAAGAGCCTTAGAGCTTACAAAAGCCTCCAACACAGCCAAAGCCAGAGGAAAGTTACAACAAAAGAATTCAGCAAGCTCAAACCCTCACTAATATGACTGCTGTGCACATTGCACCTACGTGAGAAAAACCACAAAAAAGATGTGTAGAAATGCAGTGACTGACCCTATACAATATGACTCTATTATTTGAGGAAAATGGGGAACAACCATTGTTTAGCTTCTAATGTTGAAAAGGAAGCCTTTATAGGAGGGAAAATCAGAGGCCCGGTTTAGTAAAACACCTAGACAGGTGTAAGTGACAGAAAGCTCCCATATCCTAGAAAACAAATGTTACCTACACTTATACAGATCACTACCTACTTCATTCCTTTTCCCCCTCACACAGCTGTGCAATTTGCTTTTCAGATTGTGGAATTCAGAATCTCAAGGGATTCAGAGCACAATTGTAACTCAATTACAACACAATTTTATAGCCAAGGCTCTAAACTGATAGCAACACAAACCACAAAACTGAGAGCAACTGCTTTTTTTCCAACACAAATGCCAAGAAATAAATTTAAATTCTGTGATAGCAACTTCACCCCTCAAGATGCTGGCAGATTCACTCTGGAATTACAAGCATGGTTTCTCATAATCTGATAATTCAGATTCTGTATTTCAGATTCTGATAATTCCCTCTCAGTATTAGGAAAACTGTAATTTTTGACAGCTGAAATCATATTTCCAGAAGTTAATTCCCTAAAATGGCCAACAAGTCTTTTTCAGTAAGATCATGAAATGCTTTACAAGAGAGCAAATAGCATACCCTTCATGCCTCACATCCCAAAGAATGTTTTCTTTGCAGTAGCTGCCTGTGTTGCACAACCCATGACAATTTGGGAGAGATGTGTGAGACCAGCATGAGAAATCCTAACTGGCATTACACAAAATTAATACACTGTAGAGTATATAAATAAATGTAAATATTTATAACCAATCAAGCTTGTTTTCACCCCAGACCAAATTACTACTATACCACCAAAAAACCTTAGATTTAAACAAGGATTTAAATTTGTTGACATGTAGTACCAATTTTTCCTGACCAGAGTCATTGTTTAAAGTAAGTACTCCAAAAGGAAGGAAAAAAATGAATATAAAATACATACTCTATCTGACATTGTTACTTGACTGCTGGTACTCTACCTCAAAAATATAAGAAAGAACTTGACACATTTGGGATCCTTTTATTTGTAATTTCCTTTATGATGTTAGCATGGTTATGCAGCCATATGACCTCTGCCAGGGGTCTGGAAGGGAACTGAACCACCTCCACTTCAGAGGCATCAATTCCAGCTCAAACACACACTGGGAACTCTCCTCCCCCAGTGGTAAAAACTGCTGTGGCAAACCAGGCTTTACTTTTCAACAATCACCATGAAATCACACAAACCATGTAATCAGCATTCCTACCATGATTTCTGCATCATTTTTATGTGGGTTTGAAATCAGCAAGTAATAAAATACGGTTTCTATGGTACTTTGCATGAGCTTCCTTTAAACTCCTTTGCTCAAGATCATGCAAACCAAAAGCAGAAAAAAAGTATGACAAACACTCTGGAGGCCTTTGTTATTTTTAAAAGTATTGAATCAAATGACAATTCCTCTCCAATGAGGAGAAAAAATCCTCACACCAGCTGGTAGAGATTTTATCCTTTTTATGGTAAATACATATGACATGGATACACGTTTTGAGGGAAATAACAGACAGGTGTGTTGGTCTTTTGTGCTCAATGATCAAACCATTAGCATAGCTATATTCACCTTTTCAGCAAAATCAATTATAACATCATCAATGAGCCATTTCATACAGAGTAGAGGCACAAAGATGGGGTAGAACTGAAGCTGTATAAGCTGCATAACTGTATAAGCTCTACTTATACAATCAAATCATAGTGAGTACACTCACACATTATATTTAGAGGTTTCCTAATCCTGTACTGCTTAGCATCTTTCACATTTCCAAAGCAGACTTCAGGAAATTAGATATTCTAATTTATAAGGGAAAAAAACCCCTTATGAGTTAAATCAGCAAGTGACACTGCCAATTAAGAGTCCTTCTTTCAGGAAGGAAAAAACCCAAATCCAAACCTGTAATAGAATCTTTACATTTCTTAACTGGTATTTTCTTGGATGCTAAAACCCCCACATATGTTTTAGATTGACACAAAATGTCATGCCTGTAATCCAAAAGTCAGTTGTGTCCAGCAATCTGTACAAGCCTTCTCCCTAAACAGTTTCTCATTATTTCCTGGCATTAGCCCTTCACTACACAAGGTCTTGCAGGCACACAGCTGTAAAACCACCAAGATTCACAGATGGAAGAAAAGAAAAGAATATTGGTGCAGTTATTGGTGCAGTCTCATTTTAGCTAGTATCATGCTTTTTTAAGACCAACAGACAGAACGAGTTGTCTAATAAGGAATCCAGTTAAACAAAAAAAAAAACATAAAGTGAGTCCACAGGGTCCTGTGGTCCCTGGACTCACTGGAAATCAGCATTTGACAGTTCCACACTGACCTACTTTTTTTTTTCATGGGCCCAGTAATACTGTTTTCACAATGTAAAGGCCTGCAATACAAATTGACACAGCCCAAAAAGATGCCACTTTCACATGCCTGATTACATCACAAATGCATGTACGGGCAGAAACTGCAATTCTTCATTAATTCTAGTATCTGATCACCATGGGTTTGCTTATTGCAGACATAAAAGCACAGGAAGGATCTGCCTTCATCCCTATGTTGTTTTGATGCTTTTTCTTTGCATCTGTTACACAAATGAGCCTAAATCCACATGGTTCTATTCCTCCAGACTAAGTCACTAATCCTGTCATTAAGCTCAGAAAAACACATTATTTTTACACTCACTAAAGTCACCATTTATAACAATGAAGATGCTACTACTGTTCTGCATAATTAAGCTTTATGTTGCTGAAAAAAAACCCAACATGAAAACCATGAACACATCCACTAAAAACCACTTAAACTGAGAGTACAAATAAATTAAAAAACTTAAAATCAAAGTACCAAGAGATTTTTATCTTCCAGTGTTCATATTTCAATACTAAATAGTATGTTAAAGATAACCTGTCTCAAAGGACAAACTTTTCTACTTAACTAAACATAGTAAGATGCATTTTTGACACTAGAAAGAAATAAATTTTTAGAAAAAGCACAGAATTAACTTGAAGGTCTTGCTTACTGGTAATTGCACTATATATTTTGCTCTCATAGAGGCATTATGAGGAAAATTTTAATACAAAGAGCTGGGAAGTCCAGCTTTTATCTGCTGAGATGCAGTTGCAGCATTCTTCCTTTCTTTGTAACAGTTGAGGCTATCACTTGCACTTCAAACAGCATCTGATCCAAAGCCCATTAAAGAATTTCCATTGATTTCAACAGGGCTTGGAATGCAGCCACATGCAAGGAGCACCATTCTGTGCTTTCAAAGAGCATTGGTGGTATAAGCTGTAATACTGACACCAGCTCTCATGAAGTCTGAATCCTTTACATTTGGTTTTTCTTAAAATCCCTAGTTAACCCAAGCACCTCAAAAGCAACAGAAAACATCCAATGCCTAAGTTTTTACTCCTCACTTTCAAAGTCAGACATGAAAACACAATCATGATAACACAGCATACAAATTTAAAATACTAAATATGAAACTCTGAAATTAGGCTCCAATAGACTCATGATTTTAAGTGGGAGCTTTGGTCAGCAACATGAGGGATGTCAGTGATACTCTCACCCTGAAGTCTTCATGGATGCAAGGAAATCACTCTAAAGTCTATAACTGGTCTATAACTAATTTTTAAATGTTTTCAGCTAAGATAGCCAAATCTTTCATTGAGAATTTCATTCATCCTTAATCTTAAAGCAAACCCTGAAATAAAATTACAAATTCTTTATCTATATCTTGCTTCTCTTCTGTCACTGCTGATGCAGATAGTAAACACTACTTAATATGCAACATTAAATGAATACTTATTCAAAAGAATTATACCAAATACAAGGAATAACAATTGTATTTCTATGAACAAGAACAAGAAGTACTCATGGCCAATTTCCTAATACAATGCAAATACCAGTATTTGCCTAATTTCATCATTCCCAACCCAACTCGACCTTCAAATGAATGGGAGTGTCACTTGACAACTAAAAAACTTACTTTTGTTTAAAGGCAGCACTGCCATTGAAGAGGACTGGGCTCTCAGCCAGGTCTGTTTCAGGTATCAGGGAAAGATAAACAGGTCTGTAATTCTACATACCTCGTTGGCAGCTTCTCAAAGTCCACATCCAGAAACTGTTCATAGCTAGATACAAAACTATCCAACCAGAGCTTCAGGTAATCTGGGTCTTTCTGTAAAAAGAAAGAGAACATTAGGCAATATTGCACTCAAGGTCATCTATCAACAACTCTGTAATACTGCCTCAAATAAAAAGTTTCTATTTAATGCATTTCAACTGGGAGAAAGGAGGGAGTACACATTTTTTAGAACCAAAAGAAAAAACGACCACCTGTGTACTTGGAAATGTTCAGCCACATTGTGCTGATGGGACATTTCTGCTCTATTCATTAGTTTATGCATCTCCTCTTCTTGGCACCAGTGTCAACCAAAGCATTTTAGCTTTTCCCCTCATAAACAATCTTAACTTATTCTCCAGAGTCATCCATACCAGCTTTACAAACTTACTAGAATGTGTTCTAGTCTTGACACCATAGATACTAGTACACAACACTCCTTATGGCTCATAAAATTAAGTAAGAGCCCTAACAGCAATCCTAATCACAAAATAATTTCCTTTTTGCTTCACTCATAGGTCAATATGGCAGATAATAGCAGATTAGAGACAGATGGTGTTCAGAAAAAACAATGTAGAAACTATGACTTGCATATTAGATAGCTATTAACAGATTAAAATTATATTTAAGCTTCCTATTTGTTCCCAGTAGAGCACAAAGACCGTGTTTGTGACCAGCAGTCCCTCAGCGCTAGACACTGCCCCAGGAACTAGAACAGATCCTAGACCACTGCAAACACACAGGGAAATGCTGTCAAAATATGCATTTGAGGTAGTCTTACTTTAGAAGTCAAGCTGCTTAATTTTCAAAAACAAGCTGCCAGCCCATAGCTAACATACTCCTTTGCCAGGACTGTGCAGTCTTGTTCATTAACACATATGCACATAGTCCCATTCTACACCACAAATAATTTTCAAAACAGTTTTAAAATTTTTTCTGAAGTATTTGAGATTACATATGATTTCTGAATCCACTCCATAATTTATAACATTTTGCAGAAGTTGAAAACATTTTTCTTTATCTTTTTCCCTCTTCTGTATCTCCTCCCTTTTGTTTGTTGCCTTTATACTACCACAGATGTTCCCAAATAAGATAATGTTTCCCTGTAGAGATAAGATTGAAGAGCAAACAGTGAATATCTCTAACACACACACTCTTCTGCAGCAATGTCAATGTAAAAGAAAGTCACCAAGAAAGACTGACAGAGAGTCCTGTCAGTGTAAAATAGCTACCTATGAAAGAGCCCTCCACGAGGGAAAGAAATCAAACAAAACAAAGTTTTAAAAAAACACACAAACAAAACAAAAAAAACAACCTCAGAATAAAATAAACACATAAATCCAGAACCTCAAGTGGTGCAAAGCTCTTCCCAGAGCATCTTTCCACAGCACGTACAGGAGTTACAAAGCATGGGAACCCCCTTCTCATTCTAAACCTTTACCCTTCTCTATGTCCCCAAAAGCCATCCTCAACCCAAGCAAGAAGTGTCACAAACATCCAGACACAATTTACTTCACTACCACTATTAATTATATATAAAATGTGTTCAGGTACTGTCACAACAAGTGCCAAATAAAACCTTCAGCTAGATACATATCTCATCTGACTATTCAGTTCTGCTGACTTTATGGCATTTTCTTATTCATTTTTCCTTGTTGTCTTATTTTCCCTTCCTCTGTTTAATTCCTAATCTCTCCCTCATTCATAATCTTTCTTCTCCTCATCTCTGCTTTTATTCACTTTTCAATTATTTAAGTAATCACTTCCTTTCTTTTTCTGTTAAAAATTTGTCAAAACAGCACTATGTTCTGAAAGTGTAATGTAGCCTTGTTCTCATGTTTAATATGCACTGACCTACCAAATGGTTAACTAATCTTAAACACACCTACCAATTGTTCTCAACGTGGAATTGCAAAACACAGAATGAAGGAAGCAGTTGAGATAAAGAATAATTTCAAGGTTTCCAAGCTACTGCTTTAAGCTACAGAGTTTGTTGGATTACCACAAGTAGGTGAGCATAGAATACACATTTCTCAGGTTCAGACATCAAACATATTGAAAATCAACCCTAAAGTTAGACAAGAAATAAGACTTGCCTAAAAGAATGATTTAGAAGTAGTAGAAGACACTGTCTTCAGACAGCCCAGCTTTTCAAAAATGTTCACATGTTCAAAGCTTTAACTTCCTTGCATTTCACAGTAAGTAATTTTAGCTGCAAGCAAACTATTTCACAGGATCATAAAGACAAGAGAAACCAGGATACCATTTTAGTAATTACAACAGAGCTCAGGCTACACAGGACAAAGCAACTACAGAAGTAATGAACAGAAATGTTGCCATATCCATGTGTCCATGCCTCTGATGAAAATGGCCATATACACGTGCAAAAACTGAACTTAAAAGAGACTTTTTCCCTGTTGAACAAACTGCTTCTTCGTTGACATGAGAAGCTTCTCCTTGAAATCCAACAAGAAATACTAGATTCATGTTTCCAAATTAAAATTTTTTGTTGACACAACTCAGGCTCATTCCTAATTGCTAACAGTAAACTTGTGTAAAAAACCTGTTTTTCTTGGTTACCATGAAAGAAGATGTGCAAATAACACACTATCTGACTTAAAATTGCTTTAACAAAAGTCAAGGATGAGAAAAGGGGAAGGGTAGGGCAAAAGACAAAGTTATATTAAATGCCTGCTTGCTCCTTTTTAATGATACAGCCTAAATGAGTTTCAAGCTTCTTTACCTTTGAACTCCAATGCCTTTGCAAAGCTATCAGTACAGACTGGGAATAAGAGAACACTGGCAGACAAAATTTGCAAGAAATAGCACTTATACAGATGGCAAGAGTAAACCACATGTTATGAAACAGCCAGAAGTTTTTGCCTACCTGTAGAGCACAGCCTGCTCAATTTGCTCTGCCACTAGAACTCCTCCTGCTCCTGGTAAAAACCAAGAAGTGCTGTACTGTTTGATTATTCCTGCAGCACACAATTCAACCCGACTCCCTTCATCTCAATCCCCTGCCAGTCAATTAATAATGTAATATTCCAAGTTATTAAAATAATCAGATTTTATATCAAAATACCAGGTAGCACTACTGGTATGTGCCAGCAGAAAACAGTTTATGCAACAGTTGACTCAGAGTCAAATCTAGAGATTTCCATCACTAACTCCAAACCACCTGGACAAATTTTTTTTAAAAAAATCATGAAGGCAAAAAAGTAAACAAGATCACTTAGCAACATGAGAAACACCAAGAAATAGATCTCCATTATACACCAGCTAACAGAGGCATGCCTCCTTTCCAGAAATGAACAAAAATGAAGACTTGTGAAGCAAAAGTCCATTCCAGGAAAAAGTGACAAAATATTTAGCAAATGGGCTACAATTAAAATATTTCATGTAAGTTATGTCAATAATGTTAGAAACAGAAGCTATAAACAGCTTTCTAACTTCAAATCTGGCCCAGGTTTTCTTTTTTCTTTATTAGGCACCAGTCTCCTGTTGAAAGCTCCAAGAAAATCTAGATTTTATTAAAGAAGTTTTAGGAGAGGAAACTGAAAATGGTAAATGTTACCCTTGGCAAAGTATATATAAATGTCCTAAAACAGAGCTAAATACATACAACCTTTCTGCCTATGTGAATCAGATGCACCTTACATTCTTCCAAACCAAAGGTATCGTAGTTTAGGACAGTCTTTTTACAGTGGTTTAATATTCTAAGTTCATAATAAAACCAGGCTGCAATAACAGGTATCAGCTGTTTTGTTAACACTGTGATTTTATGTATAATGCAATTATCCTACCCAGCATCTTTACCTTGAACTGAACTTTTTCTTGAGGTCAGCTGGTCCCACTTAATCTGGAGTTTAAATTTGATGGAATGAAAAATGAAAAAGAATGTATTTCTGTTAAGTCCTCCCCCCCACTCACCTTTTCAACAATCCTCTATTGTCCCACAACAGAAGTGGTAAACCATATTAAGAGCAGAACACAAATTAATCTTAATTTAACATTAATCCATTTGTGTTCTCCAGTGCCAGATTAACTTTCCAAGCCAGTACGTGTTGCAATATGACAAATATCTGTGTTACTAGGTGTCAGAAGAGAGCATCCCATGGGATCCATGATGCTACTGAGGGCAACAAATCAATGAACTGCAGCCTCAGCTCCACCTGATTCACTGTAAATTGTGAGCTACTACATCACATCTGTGGTCCTCCTAAGGAAGCAGCAAAAACTATGGAATGTATTTCCCCTCTTTGAAAATTACTCTTTTGTTATCATTCTGCAGACAGGCAGCTGGAGGCTGTATGTCAGAAAACAGCTCCAAATTGTTTTCTGTGGTGCTGGTTGAAGATGCACTTGGAGAGCACAGTTTACAAAGCACTGTATGCTTTGGTAATACACCACAAGGCTAAACTGTGATAAACCAATGTGAGGATTGGTATTCTTTTCCAGCCCCACCACACACACTCTGCACACACGTCCTCTTAGATCAGCAAGAAATCAAGAAGGATATTTTTGATTGGTGCAGAAGCAGTAAAAGCAGGAAGAAGCTTCTAAGAGGTAATAAAATGCCTTTTACCAGTTACAACTTTTCAATTACTACAAGATAAAAAATGCTGTTTTCTGAAGCCTTAAAGTCTTCTAAGTTACAAGCCTAAGCTTTTAATTTATTTACCTGAAACCTGCCTGGCTTTTCTGCAGGCCAAATTTATGTAATTTATTTGACTAACAATTCACATATAGAAACTGCATGCCTTAAAACTTCTGGAAGATAATTTCCCCATGGTTTGAACTCCAAGAAGGTAAAATAGAACTTCAGACAGCATTTCTTTTCATAGTGATACATGGAAACAACTAGAGTTTTAACAAAGCTATCTTAAAGTTGTCATTGTAACAAAAGTCTATGAAAAAACCACTGAAAAACAAAATAAAGAGCCCAGGAATATAAAAGTTCTTTTGTTAATAGCCACAAGTTTGCAGAAGCTAAGCTTATGCTTCTGAGCTCAGTCCATTGTAATGAAAGCCTTTGAAAGCGCTATAGCAGTCAC